TGTCACACCGAGTTCGAAGCTGCATTGCTGACAGCTCATGCGGAATCCATACCGACATCTTCCACACCAATCCGAGATCGTGCAGATGCCGAACCACTGTCCTATAAGAGAGCCCGAACTTCTCTGCCAAGCACCTGCTCGACTGCCTGGGATCTGCTTCAACAGCGGCCTTTAACAGCGTCGGATCGAACGAACATGGGCGTCCCGAGCGCGGCTCATCTTCCAACTTAGTGCTTCCTTCTTTGAACCGCTTGAACCATCTAGCCGCTGTCATATGAGAGACACTGCCTGGGCCCATCGTGTGGTTGATACGGTCAGCGGCTCTGCGCGCTGAGGACCCTAGACGGTACTCATGAAGTAGAAGCACGTGAAGGTGCTCTCGAGAAATCGCCGTGGAAGACATATCTCTTGCAGCTATTGGGTTGAGATGATGTATAAAAAATGACTTTTGCATATTCTTTATATACCCCAAATATGGGATCACCAACTTGTCTCTACTTGATTTTACAAGGAAAAGAAAAAGTGTAACAAGACTTATGTCACAACCTAATATTTTCGCTTTTTTGAACGAAGCCGCATTCCGCGGAACAAAGTTTCATTCAAAAAAAAATTGGAAGCATTCGTTGCAGTTTTCTATGCTCTTTCAAATGTTTATCTTTATATTGCACTTCAACAACGAGCTCTTATTACAGAAATTCACGAAGTTGTTCACAAGATCAAGTTTCGCTATTTAATAATTTTGTACTGATTCTCAAAAGATCCAATTAACGGATAAACAGAGCAAATCTAATAGGATACAAAACAGTTTTTTTTCTCCTTTCCATAATTCGCCCCCATTTCTTGACAAATTTAACAGCATTAATAACTTTTGGCAAACTTATATCACACACAGGCTTCAAGTACCATAAATTCTCGATTTTTCGTAGTTTCTGAAGTGGGTTATATTTAGCACTAATTTACAAAACAAATGAGCGTTCAAGGATTCGAATCAAACCTTGATTTGCCGGATACAGGTTGAGGCGCCTTCAAAAACATGAATTTTGTTGATTTTATTCCCCAAGACACTACGAATCGGAAACAAAAACACCTATCAAAGAGAGGAGTATGTTGCATTCCCGGGTTGCTCTCCGGTTGATGTTCTGGAAGCAAAGCTGGCACCGGATCAAGTTGGTTATCGTTTTTGGGACAAAAAGCAAAGGGGATGTCGTTTTTGTGGCCGAAAAGACACAAAAATTGCGATGTTCTCTCAGTCGATGTTTCGTTTTTTGCCTTCCTTTACGTTCACAAGGAGTCAAAGAGTACTCCGTAAGAAATTTTCAAGATAAAAGGAACTTCGATTTGAAATTTCCTTGGCGCCAGCTTGTGCCGAGCTCTGTCTGGGAATTCAAGCATAACCATATTTGATAGCATCAAAAAAATGGTGTTAAGAATTTTGAAAACTAAGCTGTGGAAGGGTAAAAAATTGTTTTGTATTCTATAGGGTTTGCGCAACGAATGCTATTGATATATCTTTGTTTCGCGAAATGTGGCGCTCGCTCAGAAAAGCGAAAAAATTTTCGGAACGACTTATAGGGGAATGAAGGTTGGTGGAAGTGGCTTCTTTAGATGAGATGTGCACCATATTGTAGAGCTTGGAACGCTAATTCCAAATCTACCTTTGCTATCTGCGGGCTTCTGGGAAGAGCTATGAAGATTTTTGTGCGTAAAAAGTTAAATGCAAAATTAGTATAGCACAGTCGTAACCTTTTCCTAACGTTCAATTGAGGCAGCAGCGAGTTGGTGTATTTGAATCAAGAATATTTTTTGCACCGAGTGACTCAACTACCAGTTAAGTCTTAGGAAAAAAATGTGACGTCTGATTTTCCACTAATCTTGCATTCAACTTCTTACTCACCAAAACTTTCATGACTCTTCGCCCAAAATCCCGCAGCAGATATCGAAGGCAGATTTGGATCAACGTTCCAAGCTCTACAGGACAGTATGCATCCCATTTTGAGGCCACTTCGACCAATCTTCCTTCCCTTGTCAGTATAAACGGCCTCTAGCAATGTACTGCCCGGCTAGCAACGCAAGTCGCTGTGTGGCGGTCACTACACAAATGTGTGAAAATTGATGTTGTATTCAAAGATGAGGACCATAGAAAACCTAGAATTTATCGCAAATGCTCTGTTGGGAAATCTAATGGGCAGGTAATGACAAGGGGTGATTTAGAAGACTTGTAGGATTGACACAAAATGCATGCTGCTAACAACAATCATAACAAAACCAGAATAATTACCAAAGCTTGCCTCACACACGGCAATTATCAACATCTCCTATTGTTATACCTCAAAACTAAATCGAAATCTCAACGTTCAAAAAAAATTTGATATAATTTCTCAACAATCGAGGAATTGAATTGTCCACAAGGAGAAAAGTTATGGCTTTGGCAGACTGAACAAATGCAGAGCATACACAGTTGCTCGAGTGACATTAAGACGTCATGTGAGCTTTAGGAAAACTAGAGATTTGTAGCTATAGAGCTACAGCATTTTACCTCCACTACAAAGCCATTTCCCGCCTGCTTATTGATTGAAACAATGTGATAACCGTACAGAGATGAATATTAGACGTTTTTTGCCAAGCTTTTTCATATTGGGTTCATGTGATAGGGAGGGAAAAGCTTTAGCCACACTCTTCGAATTACATTCAACATGTGCAAACAAAGCTTTTCTCGGATTCCTTTGTATTATTTTCATACATGCACAACAATCTTTTGGATGTGCCTTTTTACCACCCAACTTCTGAGGGAAGCAGGGCAACAGGATATATAGCTAGGCACATGTTGAAAAATGACTGTCATGTAGGAGGTAGTAAACCATCGTTTCGGAAGAAACCCGAAAATAGCTCCGGATCACGAGTGGAGATTTTTTATTCTTATCTAACTTTTTAGAGTGGAAATTGCACTATGTTCAGCAATGGCAAATGGTAGCATGCAGATTCAGGAGTAGAAAATATTCAGAGAGGAATAAAATTTTTTAACGAAGCTAAAATAGCCTTTTCTCAAAATGTTTCAAAAAGTGAATCTCGACAGCAAGAATTTTCTTTTTTCTTGGTTTCATATTGAAATAATTCTTGTCATCAATGATAGATACTTTTGTCTCGGCAAAACCCAAAAGTTAGTATTGGAAAAACGATGAAACGTCCAACAATTTGTATCACAAAAATGATTTTTTTTTTTCGAAAAATCAATGGTGAAAAATGTGAAATGCGACTTTTTGAGAATGTTAGGTTGGAACATAAGTATTGCTGCAAAACAAATAGGAAATAACTCGCGTTCCTCCTACATTCACATAATTTCTGTACCATTCGATAGCAAAGAAAGCTCCGAAAAAAACATGAAAGGTTTGCATCAAGTTCGGTCCAAGCAGGTTTGAACACAAAATTAAAAAAATCCAGGTGCCCGACAATAGACAAATTCGTATTCATTCAAAGAAATCTTACGGGAACGCCAATTAGCTCCCGCATTTACAGTACACACCAAACACGTATAGACATCATTATAGCATTTTTTGTTGCTTAGAAATCGAGAAAACGAAAATTTTTATGTTTTGACAGAGTCATGCTGAGCTGTTTTCGCACTAGTAATTGTATACTGCAAGCCTTTGATTGTATAAACGTAAAACCCTAGCCTTATACAGCAGCTGGTTTCATAGAAATATTGAAATTGGCATAAAAAATGCGAATGAGAATTGCTAGATACATCCAAGCATCATTTTTGCGTAAATGAGGAAATTTTGTTTTCTCGATTTCCAGCCAAGGTAAACGTGCATGTGAATGTAGAAGGCAAAGAATATATTTTCTGAGCAAGTGGCAGATTCGCAGAATTCTTGCAAAAAAAGTTCTGATTTTTTTCTATTCCGGACAGTCGGATCTTTTTAGTTTTTGACTAAATCTCGCCTGAATCAAATTTGGGGCAAATCTTCGAATATCTTGGGTAGCGTTCGGTAGAGGTTGTTTTGCCCTATCGAATGATACTCAAAAACCTGTGGAATTTGAAGTGATATGACTTATTGCACTTTTAACTTGTTTTTGTGCAAGACTTACTTTCCAGCCCGATATTAGGTTGTCCCAAAAGTAAAATCCTTCTTCAAATAATCCAAATTTTTTTAGTAAACTCAGGATATCATTCGATAGAGTAGATCATGCTCTACAAAAAGACCATCAAGGATCCGTCTAAGTCGCATGCCATGGAAAGTTTGAAGCCAAAGTCAAAAAAGTTTTGTTACCTGAAAACTGAATTTTTGAGAGAAAGAATCCTACGGACCTCCAACTTGGTCATTATACAGTAGGCACATATTAACACTTGAATACTCAAATATGCCTTTACTGGATTTTTCCGAGCATACAATGCGAGAAAAAGATAGTCCAAAAACGGCAAACTCCTCTCCCTGCCCCACCCACATATGTCATTGTATACTACAGACCTTACTAAGTACAATCTCAAAAATTCGCTCCTCTACGTGCTCTTATAATCGAGAAGTACCAAGGTTTTACATGGAAAACTCGAAAAAAAAGGTGGCATTTTGACATTTTCGGATCATCTTTGTTTCTCAATTTTGAGCCCCAGAAAAAATTCGCCAAATACTTTTTTGGGTACTATCACGGTGGTGGGCATAATTATAAAGACACCCTAGAAATCGTTGTAATTTGCGTTCTTGTTGAAGAATCTATTCGAAACTTTGCTGTACTGCGCATGTTAACCTACCATGACCTCTCAAAGCGGCTCCCAGTCTTGTTGAGTTAGAAGGGAGAAATAGAAAAATGCGAACACCCCCCTACCGAAAGCTGGAACAAAATTGTAAAGACACCTGGTTTTGAAAACCATCGCATCGCCTGACTTTGAAATTCTTTTTGTACAGTTACATACTAAAATATGAAACATTTGCAACATATGCGACCTGTCATCCTTTTCAAAGAGAAATGTTCACTGCATTTTTTGCTTTCAAGAGCACCAGAAGTCAATCTACTTCAACAAACAACTGTTTTGAGAGGTTTTCAAGCTCTCGTTTATCCCAGATGATAGTCATGGAATCCGCTGAGCCTTTTCGATAAATTGGTTGAAGAGCGCTTTCGTAAACTTTGCGTAATCGCTGGTACTGACGGACAAACTCCAACCTTAACATAGGTTTTCACGCTTTCAAATCACAAAACTCAAAAACTTGTGTGCATAGCTAGGAAAGAATTTCGACGTTGGCATTATGGTTCAGCCGCAGTTGTCATCCACTGAATGTTGAGTGGAGCATCCTGCATAATCATAGCTAAATCAGACCACGCGATCGAACAGAAGACCGCTCAGAACTTCAAAATCTCAGCTAACCTATCCTTTGGGTAGAATTTGACATGAAACAGAAACGAAAGTAGTGCGATTTATGATTATCTCGAATCCACTGCTCTCAGAGAATTTTCGTGGAAAGTATTTCAGGTCTAAATCGCGACCGCATCATTACGGAAAATCTGAAAGTTGTTGCGGAAGCTGCATCACCATGTAAGCAATGTAATAAATCAAGTTCAGCACTTTATGACATCGCAAACTGAATTTTGCGGTTTAGAAGCGTGGCAAGCCTATGTTGAGGTTGAAGTCTTCCGAAGCGCTCTTCACCTCATCTATCCAGAAGGGACAGTGGATTCCATGACTCTCATTTGAAATGAATTAGAGCTTGAAAACTCCTCAAACGAGCTGTTTGTTGAAGCAAACTGATTTTTGGCGCTTCTAAAAGCAAGAAATGCATTGAACTACTCTTCTAGAAGGATGACGGGCCACATATGCTGCAAATGTTTCATATTTTAGTATGTAACTGTACAAAAAATTTTAAAGTCAGGGGAGGCGATGGCGTTCAAAAAACCAGCGAACTCAACAGAATAGGAAGGCTTTCTGAGGGGTCATGGTAGGTTAACATGCGCATTACACAGCAAAGTTGCAGACAGATTTATCAACAAGAACGCAAATTACGACAGTTTCTAGAGCGTCTTTATAGCTATGTCCAGTACTGTGTGTGTTTACTATACAAAGACCAAATTGGAAGTCCGCAGGGATTTTCTGGAAGGGGATTCGTTTTTTAGGGTAGCTGGAAAATTTTGATTTGGCATAAGAGCGAGCGGCCAGCAGTAGTCCGTCTGATCGGCCGGCAATACCCTTGCCGTGCAAACGGTCGACAATGACCTTTATCTTCTCTTCAAAATTCCCACACGTGAGCTAAACGGCACCCGCGTGGGATACGAGCAGAGTTTAGGTTTTCCTTAGCGCTAATGAGTAGCATCAAGAGCTTTCCTTGACCGGGGAGGCTCGAATGATCCTTTGTGAGCGAGGTTATGCTGCCGTGATCAAGAGTGATGGTTTGTGTTTTTCTGTAAAAGCTCGGTTCCCAGGATGTGGGACCAATATAATTTGAAGAAAAATGGGGGTCAAGATATCTCACAAGGGAAGGACCGTTGGTCGAAGTGAGCTTTCCACAAGTGGACCCTTAAGCGCCCCTAACAACTTGTCGTTGAAAACCGCAAACTCCCTCAAAACGTTCTCATATTTCGAAGTTGAGTATTTATGAACATATGCGGTAGTATGTAACAAAATGTTCAAAACATGATAACTTCTCACAAAGTGCACATATGAAAAAAAAACCCAAATACAGTCTCCATATTCACAAATTCCCAACAAACTGAATGAAGAATAGTACTGAATGCGGCTTTCAAATTTTTCGATATGAGTCAAGGTAATCTTATCGTTCTAGTCAATGTGAACTTTATTAGGGCATTTTCTTGATTTATCGGCAGTGCCCAAACTAGAACCTGTACAGTTTTCCCATTTCTTTTGCGACTTTGGTGTCAACAAGTATCAAGGGCGCTCCCTTGCCCTTCGAAGCCTCTAGGGATATACACCGAACAATTTGCAGATTGCAAAAATTTTGGCTAGACATATGATCCAACTCTTTACTACCTATTCCACAGTCTCTGCAGTTATCTTCTCGGCCATTCCTCCATGCATGTGCAGTACTTGGCGGCGCTAACATTACGTGACAGACGGTCAATCTGAGGAAACTATCGCTCATAACTTCTCCAAAGGATGATTGAGCGGCTAAGGAACACTGATTTGGTGTTAGAGTATCAAGACCAACAGAATGATATGCATCACATATGGAAAGCCTATTTCGACCCATTGTCCTTCCCTCGTCAGACAAATCACCCGAAAACCAAGCAAGAGGCAAACCTTCCCCTGCAGGTGGCGAGCAGTAGTTACCGTGCGTGCGCCTCACGTTACAGGGAGGGAAGGGAGGGGGAGAAAAAACACACACAAAAACGCAAACTTTCCTGGGAAACTTCTCATGCTTTTGATAAGCCTTCCCCACCCCCCTCCTAGTACAACCATTAATATAATCTCGGCATTCATCATTTGGCCATCTATCTATTCAACCTATATCCTTCTATTGTCAAAAATAAGTCAAAGTGGAGCAAATCTTCGGAGATAAAACGGCGCTAATGATTTTTGAAAAGAGTGGGTATTAGAATGAGTCTGTGTGATAGTACGAATGATGGCTAGCTTTGTGCTTAATTACCAATTTCATAAAGCTCTTTAAAATATTCTGAAAATCAATAAGCAGGTCCAACGAGTGAGTGAAGAAGTGAAGAACGATGACGTTCTTAGCAAATAACTGACAAGAAGTTCAAATTTTGAAGATGTATTTTAGCATGTAGCTAATCCTGGCTTGGTAAATCAACAGCGTACCTAATTGCATTCTCCATGGAGAAACATTTTCAAACCTTCATTTTTTTAAATAGGAGTAGGAATCGCATCGATTCATTTTGGAGCGATTTACAAAGTAAAAAAATTATTTGACGCAGAAACCGCATTAGACAATGAGGTCCTCATTAGAAAAGAGAAGTCGTGGGCCCCCAATTCTTCTTAATCAGAAGTTTTTATAGTGCACGATTTATGATGCCAATAACAAACAGCAGTAGAGTAAGATTATGAAGTTGAAAAGTTATAATAAAAGGCTGCACACCTTTTGAAACAAGCGCTTTTTGGACGGTGCACACAAAGGAGAAAAAGTCCTAGGCATTTATGAATAGCGACGCTTTACTGCGTACTTCACACTTCATCTATGCAATGCAAATGGAATTTGTTTCACTCGGAGGTGCGTCTTAGATGGAGTCCTCAATATGTAAATTGCGAGTTTTGGAATAGCAACGAATGTTTAGCGATGAAAACGAGTGAAAAAAAATTTAAATCGCGAAAGCTAAAACATCAAACGTAATTTAGGAAAAATTCGATATATACATAAACACAGGTGTGAAAGGCCCTCATAACGACTGCTTCATTTTTACAAAGCACCTGTTTTGTTTTTACCACAACTCTTCAAACTTTTCAGTTGCACTGAAATTACGACACGTGTAGCAAGGCCAAAGCAGAAGGTGAGTAAAGAAAAGCTGGTTCCCTCCAGCTTCGAGCTGTGCCTGACAATCACACCAGTAATATTCAGCTTATGTGATTGTGAACAAAGCAATAAGTCATCCTACAAGATAGGAGCATTCGGTTATGAATGAAAATTTGGAGTGTCCTGTTGACGAAAACGCACGAAATCTTTTCCGACTCTATTTAGAATTGCAGATAAGCAATCGCAATGATTTTGCAACACATGAAGTGTCCAAGTGTCCAACAAGATTTTTAGAAGTGGTGACGAAAATTCCGTGCTGACGAAAATGTGAATAATTTTTTTGCGCTGTACATTTTTATTTATATCCATATTTTCTCGAAAAGAGTGTGCTATAAAATTGCATGCATCTCTGTGCTTTGACAAATAACATGCTATGCTTGCTATAACACGTTTACTAACTTATCCACACAATTTTAGCCTCGAATTTGTTCTAGTCAACATTTCGCCATTCATTAGGCATAGAATGCACCATCATTTAGTTAAAATTAGTAGATGATACAGTAACCTAATTAAACAGCAATAACCAGTCACATTATTGTCTGTATTCGCTTTTCTCTGGTCGAAGTACTCTATGAAACTAAAGAAGAAAATTTTACATCTCCTACCTGAACAAATGCACCAAAAATGTCACTTTTGTATTTAAGAGGACTCAATGTATGCATTTTGCTTGATCGTCACTTCAAAAGCTTTACAGTAAAATCGTGATGAATATTTCTCCGTCGAGCATAAAGGATAATAGCCTTTGTTAAGAGGAGTTTGTATTCAGAATAAGAGGTTCTGAGCTCATCTGAAACAATGAAGTCTCTTCATTTTAATTCAACAGGAGCTGTCTTAGTCTTTCCCTCGTAAGTACAGTCTTTTCGGTTTACGATAGAAATCATAGGATTTAAGAGGTTGAAAGATGACTTTGATTCCCCGGATTGTGACAGATTTGGGACTAACGCTCAAGACTTTGGCGCCAAAATTACCCAAATTTATGCGACCTTTCAGCTTTCACAAATGCACGCATATAAAAGTGAACAAATTCCAGTATTGACTAACAAGGGAAGGATACTTGGTGACCGTAGTCTTTTGCAATGAGATGTATACCTGTAGATGCGCCTTGAAACGCTGATTCCAAATCTATCTTCACTATCTGCTGTGCTACTCTCTGAATGAAATTATGGACTTTTTTCCATATCGATTTTACGAGATTTAGGCAGTCAGAAGCGTCAGAATCCAAGCTTTTTAGACTCCGATTTATCGGAGTCAGTTTTTCTAAGCTTAACGTAAAACTTTACTTTAGTTGGACGCTCTTTTATGGTGCGTAAGCGAACATTTTAACGATATTGGTGAATCCTGCATCAGAAACAGTGCAAATTTTAGTGTAAAGAAATGTTCATAACTTTTTTCGGAAGAGCGCACAGCAGATACCGAAAGCAGATTTGGAATCAGCGCTTCAAGATACATTTAATGGTGTACTTTTCATTTTAAAAGGCCCCGGTCACCAAGTATCCTTCCCTTGTAAGACTTTAGAATCATATGGCTGCTAATTTGCGATCTGATTGGTAATGTTCTCCTGCGGTGGAAAGCATGTATGATTAGGAGGGATGTTATGTAATTCCAAAGATGGGGGAGATTATTTTTGTTCCAAGAATGTACCTAGAACTAAATTAATTTATATCTTCCGTAGATAAAACCTGATTTCTTGAGTACACTCATATACTTCGCAAGGCAGTAAACAGGGCTCGGCACAGGTGACTTATAAGCAAGCTGGATATCGTTTTTAAGACAAAAAGCAAATGAGATATAGTTCTTGTGGTCCCAAAACTAGGATTTTTTCTTTTTTTCAAGTCGACGTTTCGTTTTCTTAGTCGAACGGATATTTCGTATAAGGGTCAAAGGGGACTGTAAAATTTGGCGAAAATCAGGGAGGACTTCGTTTTTGCATTTTCGGAGTGCCACCTCTTGCTGAGCTCTGGCAATAATCTGGCATAAATCTGTGGATAATGAGGTACCTAGTCCTGGTATTATTTTGCAGAAAACTAAGTTCTGTTTGCTGTATGTCATATAAGTTCAAACTTCCACACATCGAGAAATGATGCTTGATTAAGCGTAACTATGGAATAATAAGTCATTAATCATATATGTCATACAAGCTCACAACCTAGACTCAGCAAAAGAGACAAACTGTAAATTGAATCTAGAATCATTTTACAGCACATTCAAATCTGTTTCAGTTGAATTTTATTCAACAAAAATTCGTAACACATGTAACAAGTAAGTCAGAAGGAAATCAAAAAAAATAGTAAAGTTAACAACAGGGTATGCAGATAGGAAATGAACAGTTCTAGGGAAAAGCACCGACTCAAGTGTAACGAGTATCAGAATAATCATATAGTATTCATATAACAGTGGCATTCGCAGAAAATTTTTCTTTTGCAAGGAGAGAAGGAAGGAAATGAACTTCACTCGTCATGGACTCCAACATCATTCATTCCTGACTCCTCCCTGGGGGCACATTGATATATATATACACACAAATATTTATGTATTTATATACGAATGTGCACAAATGACATCTTTGCGTGATATTGACATAAAAATGTGGATTTAAGAGAAGCCGGTGCGGCTAAATTGAAAAGGAAACAGTACCCGACAACAAGTCTCATTTTTTTGGACACTGTAAGAGCAAATCCTGGACAAGAAGTAGCTCTAACTTAGTTCAGAATGAGGTTCATCGCAAAGTGAGTATACAAACACATCTGAACACTTTCGCAAGCTAAAATCTACTGAATGACATGAACAAAATTGCTTCTAAGAAGGCATGTTGTAAGTTAGTGAAAAAAAGCACAGAAAAATACATTGGCTAGTGGATTCCAAGGGGTGCAATGACTGTGAAAGTAGCGGAGAGCAAGTGTGGAGCCTTTTGTCAGACAATACTAGTTGCAAAGTCGTTACTGGTCTTGTTAGCTTCGGAACTGCCGTTCGAGGAAGTGAGACTAAAGTTGGCCGAATCGTCGTTTCTCGCGCCGACCACCTTCACCGTGTGCCGCACAGTCGTCGATCCGGTCGAAACGTTGCGATTCGGTTTCTGAAGGGTCCGATCCGAGAAGGAACCGTCCTCGCCAGCACTTGCGTACACCCCTCCGCCAGCTCCAGTTCCACCGTTGTCCGTTCGACCGTAGAGGGATGCGCTAGCTTGAGGGGAGCCAGGTGTGGGCGTTTGGCCGTCGTAGTTACTCGCTGAACCTTGACTCGTCAATGTGGATGTGGGAGTGAAAGACTGCTCTTGTTGGGAAGAAGATGCGGAGACGCTTGGCTGAAAGAGTTCAAAAATGCAGAATTTGTTAGAGCACACTCTATAGCCTGTCTCAATGACAGTGTGACACCTTCAGAGACTTGGGCCCTCGTGACCGCGTCGCTCAAGCCTTGCGTTGCGTTCGCGAGGCTTCTCTATTTTGATAGAAAGTTGGCAGGCGCGGAAGGATAAAATACGTTCTCAAGAGTAGGCGGGACGTACTCTGACAATTTAGGCTACCTCCGCAGACGGTGATCTTTTAGCAATGCTGTTGCATGTCGCTCGAGGATCAGTAGTCCGCGGAGGCAGCACAAAGTGGTAGAGTGTTCCGCTACCACGTTCCAAGGGCGCAAGGCAGCGCGAGGCGACTGCGCGGCCTCGAGGTGCTAGAGCTGTGACACTGTCATTGAAATAGCCTATACATATATTGCTGACATGCCCCATGCAATGAAAGTGGGGAGGAACGAATTCCGTCAATAGGTTCCGCCTACGCGGACTACTTGTCCTGCAGTGCTATGATATACCTAGTGAAGATCAGTAGTCCGTAGGGGCGGCACCTAATGGCGAAATCTGTTCATCTACCCTGGAAATGGGAATCGTGCAAAGAAAAACCCGCGCTATCTCAAAATCGCCAAGAAAAAAGATACAGCCAGTAGACAATGAACGACAACGAAACAACATACAGATTTTAGATGTTGACCACCTTATTCGAGCTCCACAAAAGCTGACTAGGTTGCCCAGGTGGTGCTCTCTGCGTGGCCCACTGTGATGGCACGGATCCATAAACACCACCTTTTTCAGTGGTGTTAAATGAAGTCAGCTTGATGGCAGATCTCTGATAGGGTGATTGGTCCCTAAATACATTCAAGGGTAATTTCTTTTCACTCTGGATATGCATTAGGGTAGAAGTAGTTAGATTGCCGACATGCTTTGCACGCACAGCCAACAGCACCGGCTATTATGTGCGGAGACGCATGGCTTATGGCAGATGTCCGCGCAGGCTAAGGACATGAAGTCTTCAAAAAAAAACTATGTACCTCGCCGATGTCGTCATGGCGTTGGATCCTCCACTTAGCCCAGTGATGGAGCCTCTCTCACCCATAAGAGGACTCTGCCGAATTCCAGAAATTATAGAAGGAGTATTCTGGAAGCATAGTCTGGCTTGAATGTGCATTTCTGTAGAATAAGTCGTAAAAGCTGGTACCATTTGCTGTTGTGAATAGCTGTTGCTGTTCAGAGTAATCGAATTCACTTGCTGCCCAGGTGGAATAGGAATTCGTGACTGTAAATAAAACACGAGATGACACAAGAATCCCCCATGAAAGCACTGATACCTGTGGTGGCATTCTGGCATAAGTGCCGTAGTTACTGTAAGTGTTCTCAATTTTTCCATACGTAGGATTATCGGCGCTATCCCTCCGTTGATATAATGAATGCTCCTTGGCTTTATGAATAGATGCATATGCTTCTTGTTGCTAAATACTCAACATTGATGGAGAACAATTCACAATTTATGAAGAATTACCGTGGGCCATTGCCCGGCAGGGATGCTTCTCTGCACAGAGGGTGGGTTCCTTTGGAGCGTTGAGTTGTACGTTGGATTCTGATTTTTCTTAAATGCGGTATTTAGGCATTGATCATCAACCGCGCAAATTGATACCTGTAATGTGCCAAAGGTGTTCTGAGTTCTAGCATCTGGAGGAGAGTTCCCACGCAAACTGAGCTGTGTAGAATGAGGAGCTGGACCATGGGCATGTCGTATCACCTGTGCAGATAGATATGATGAAAAAACAATTAAGTCGAATGTGAGGTTTCATGAAGCAGTGACAGGAAAACAATGGAAGTGTGTGATAACATGACTTCATGGTTCTGGCCTGAAGGAGGTTTGCAAGCTAATTTAGTCCATTTAGAGATCCCAATTAGATGGCCTTTATTTGAGTTGATTCTTGCATCAACATTTCGAAATTTTAACCACACCTTCTTGCGTAACCGAATATTTCGGAACACTCCCAAAACAAGACCTTTCGAGTTCAAAGAGGTATTGTCGCCTCTCCCTCCTTTACTTGCTGTTCACAGACAACGAACAAAGAGAGTTGCTTACGGACCGAAAAAGCAAAAATGAGCAGGCAGCAGTAAACAAGCCTCTTCAACAGTAAGGTACGGGACATAAATCTTTCACCATCGAATGTTAGGAGCAGCCAATTCTCTGGCTTGGCAGAGATCCAACTCCTAGCTTTCTTTATTTTTGCAATTTGTAAAGATTGATACATGATGTTTAGGTACTCAGAAAACAAGACAGCGATTTCTGATGCTTTTCAGGGCTCGATGATTTTTATGGAAAATAAAATATACTTTCGATTAAATCTCTGATTCATGATTAATCTGGCAAGATTCAATACACAAGTTGCAAAAAACTTCTCGAATAACGTCTTCTGCGGACAAACAAGTTTGCTTGGCTGAAATAATTGAAAAAAGAATTTCTTGAGCATTCTAGTTGCACTTAGTGCAAGAATCAGTTATAGCAGGTCAAGTGCAGGCTTTTAAAGAATACCCAAATTTACAAAAAAAAAGCCAAAAATCCAATACGGTTTATTTGAGTTTTGACTATGGTTTCATGACCTACTCTTTCTAGCTAAGAGAAATTGGTACCAAACGGATATTTCTACGAATAGTGATGATGTTTGAATCATTATTAACAAGTTGTTTTTGTTTCGTATAATCTTCAAAGTGTACGATGAATTAAAAAATACTATATACAACAAAAAGTATGAGATATAGGCGGATTCGTCCGTTCGGGTTAAGTTGAGCAGGCAAGCCCTGGTAACTTTAGTCACATTTTTGCGTTTGGTCAGGGAACACGAACTCGGTTGAGGATTTACGCCATCCGGAGAATGGAGAACGACCAGTTTGTTCCAGCCAGGGACTCAGATTGGCTACCTGCTTCTACTGATACCACTTATTTCATGCATGTGTTCTTTTTGGAGCACTTTGGTGCATGTGAAATAAATAAAATAAATAAATTAAATCAAAATAGTTTTCAAACAAAATCAAACGGAGTTTTCTATGATTTTTGTTGTAGGGCTTACGTACCAATCAATGTTTTAACAATTCATGAAGAATAAGCTCCTACCGAATTATAGGTAGCGGACTCCTCCATAGGACGCTGGATCAAGCGAGAAGTCTCTGGTGTATTGCTTGAGCTCTCGTCGAGAGGAAGCTTCCTACAATATCTGCAATTTCTCGATTTCATGGATCAAAAGTAAAAGCAAATGAAGAATTCATGATTACCTCGTGTTTGGACTTCCCTGATTCCCATTTGACTTGGACCAGTACATTTCATCCGGAGCATCAAAATGTCCTCGCTGGATATGTCGAAGAAGAGATTGCTTTGCTGCTTGGTCATCGGTAATAAACATCTGCATATTACGAACACTTGCTAGGTGAAGTTTCGCAGCATGGACAATTTATAATAATAACTTACATGATCCTTCTGCATAACAATAAGTGAATTTTTCAATTGCGACGGATTCTCGTTTCCTTTGATATGGCCGGTTGTTAGGCCTTTCTGAAATTTAAGGCAATAAGTCACTAATCTATCAACCTAACAATTGTCAATCCTGATATATTCGGAAGTTTCCTTTCGATTTGCTGAGACATTTCTAGGTCAAAAGTGTAGTTTGAACGTTTGTTTTGGTTTTATGGACACAAGATGCCCCATTTACATCAATGCAGCGGGGGTGATAGATCTTCCTCTCAGTTTTTAACAGTTGAACCTTCGTCTCGTTGAGAAGACATAAGTGCTTTCAAACGCATTCCAGATAAAAGATATTAATTTTAATATTAATTAGAAGAAATGCCGTTGATTCTCAAAACTAACATACTCTGTTAGTAAGAAGGTTGAATTACACAAATCAACCTTTCGATACAACTTAGCAACTCACAAAAAAAGCTGACATCGCCTTTATAAAAATAAAAATCCCACCTGCAAGGCATAGATCTGATGCGCTTTGTGGGCCACATTGAATGTCCACTCCCTCTTCAGCGTCAACATCAACCACAACAATATCCATGTAAATAAGTAAACAACATCCACAATAATGCAGGTTAACAGTAGTGGTTTCTCCTCATGCTGAAAATAAAATAGAAATTTCCAATACTAAAATGTATGTGGTTCCCTTCACTATCAGCATACACTAATGAAAAGGCACCATCTATAAGCAGCGGGAAAGCAGTTAGTTACAAAGTCTACAATGTTATAGGCTGTCTGGTACTTTTCCGTTATTCGGACCCATTTTTTCAAAAGAAAAATATTGCTTCTATCCTTTCACCATATCTTATCCCAGCCTCACAGGAAACAGTGTCAACCTTCTGCAACGTGTCAAAAAAATTTGACATGTCATCTACATGTTTGACAGGTTTTACCAAGAGTTTGTGTTACCCTACCTAGCGATGTAGCTTCAACCTGTTTTTTTAGTCAATTTTGACCTCATTTCGATCAAACAGTTTCAAAATTAACATTTTCATAATGATGACGATATACTGTTATCAACGAAGAGCCAAACTTGCTCAGAATAAAGAAAATGGCTAGGATTCCGACATTCAAGAGGCGAGATAAGCAGCAGCAAAGTTAAGCTACCATTTATAACCTTTTCTTGCTAAATTCGCATGGTCAAAAGGGTTTGAAGAGAAAGATACTTTTGATCATTGCTGAAAGCAAAAGATGTTCTAAAATAAGTTCATGATTGTTTTGCTCTTATGTAAAACAGTCGAACAGCTTCAAAATGATCACAAATTCTCCTTTATCTCACCTGAAATGGTTTCGAAAAAAACATGTCAAAATGAACCAAAACATGTCAATTTTTTCGTGACACGTGGCAAGGAGGTAGCCATCATAGAATCTATGAAAAATTATTCTTAGACTAAAAAACATATAATATGAGAGGCTTTTGAATAAATGGGTCCGGATAACGGAAAAGTACCGGCTGTCTCAATGACAGTGTCACACCGCTAGCGACCGGGTCCTCGCGCCGTCTCGCACAGGCCTTGCACCGCGTTTGCCAATATGTATTCCCACTCCCGCCAGCCTTGAGCTCTACGAAAGCGGCGCAAGGCCAAGCAAGGAGGATGCGAGGATAAACCGCTGGAGCTGTGACACTGTTTCTGAGACAGCCTATGATCACGACCTCAGGATGATTACCTGATAGAGAATCATAAGCGCATAGATAGTGGGTGCTCGAACGACGACAATCAAGACGAGAAGCACGATGGCCACAGTATGCGGGGCATACCTGAAAGCAAAACCTCTCAATGAGGGATATGATGAAAGATAGAGCTAATACAACTTACCCATCACAACAAAGTTCGCGGCTTGGAGGTCTAGAGTAATTTCTTCTTCTGTATTCACTGTATTCACTCTGTCCAGCTGAACTATCCGTGCGAATATGGTTTTTTGCTTGGAAATTTAAGACGTTCACCTGCAAAAATAGGGCTTCACAGAATTACAAACACACAACACCAAAAAGAGATATCAGATAGATGTTTTATGAAGCTTAGGACTGTGGTTTCAGATAAGTCATCTTAGATCAGGTCCAAGAACAGCAGCTAGACAATTTCGAATGGATGGAGAGTCGCATAAGGGAATCCTGATTACAGAAAAAACCCCTTAGTACCCAAAGCAATTACAAATTACACGACGTCAGCTATACACTTTTTGCGCAGAAAAATGAGATTATTCTCAAGACAGAGAAATGAGTAGTACCATATAATGCATTGGAAAGCTAAGTCGCTCCCCCTTCGTGAATGGGCCCCATTGCGTAAGCGACTTGCTCAAATTTGGAAATAATTGAAACAACTTCTAGAGTTTTGAGATTCAAATTAGCTTTGTGAGATAAATAATTTCACTGACTCAAGCCCACAGAATATGTGAAGCTAAAAACAATTATTGAAGAACCCTAACACCAAGCCCTCCCATTCGAGAAGAATTTCTTGTCCGATTCCCCAGAAAGGTTTTTGGACCGCCACTAATACACTGTTATCATATTTCCATCTTCGACCGCATAAAAGAGGATTGAAATCCACTGTAAATAAGCCGCAAAGAAAAACAAAGAAAAGCAATCCTTTTCCATATGAGCAGTCATGATTCAGAAATGTGGATGGTAATTGTTGAGTGTACTCACAAAATATTTGTTGTATCCATAGGAGTACAGAGCGACAGGAGCGATCGCCATGAGAACCAAGGATGCGACGAAGGTGGCGATAATCACATAGGGGTGATAGAAAGGCCAGTTTCGTGATTGCACGAGGTATTGCCCTGGAGATTGAAAATTATAATATTCAGCTCATTTAATCGCAAAACTGGGATAAAATTCTCACCAAGTCCCACAGGTCTCAAGCTGTTGTAGTTGGTCTCCTGTATCCGAAACAAAACGGTAAAACTCAAATATCCCCATATAACGGCAGCACAATGAATCACCATGTGGAATGAGAAGGTCAAACTAAAATCGCAATTTTATACAGGACGTGAAGTTGAAAATGGATGTATTTTACCTGAAGGGCTTTGATACCCGCCAAAAAACCGCTGGATATGCACAAGCATAAGCGATGAGGGCTACGATCAAATTCACAAACTCAAGTGAAATTCCAAAAAGTCGGAAATTCATCAACACTGAAAAAAAAGGTTGTACTGACCCTGTACATCGAGCAAAGAAGGAACGTTGCTGGGCATAAATTTTTCAGTTGTAGTGTGTGTGTTTAATTCAATTATACATATGCGAAAAAAGTTTGGATTGAACTTTTTCTTTTAAAAAATTCATGCCCCTGGTGCAAAGCTTTCCTCCACGTTTACTAAATACTCTGAATTTTTGATTGAATTTGATTGACATACATGGTAAGAGGTTAGGAGCAAGGGGAGAACCGCGCAGCTCGTCCGCAGTGATTTGAAAGCCCGTGAGTCGTGTTTCACCCATTGGCAAATTCGTAGCGAGCTGTCGAGCTCGTTGATAGATGAAATCCATTTCCGTGTTCAGAAAATCTCCTAAAAAACATCACTTTTATTCCTTGCTGAACTTTGCAAAGAATTTGATGTTGCTTGGTTCTTGTTTTCTAAGGCTAAAAATTGACAGTGCTCAGAAAAACAGCGCATTCAAAATCATAATTTTATGGTTGACGTTTCGCGGTTTGTAGTACTCAATTGCATAAATGGGATGAACCGGGACTGCTAGGGGCGGAGTTTGCCATTTTTCTCCAGTTTTCTTGTTTAGCCGCGAATAAAATATAGAAGTTATAATATGGATGGAAGCATGTGTTGCTATATGGAGCAAGCTGGATGTTTGCATGATTTTTTTTGGACGCGAAGATTCGGCTGTGGTATTATAAACTGTGCATGGATTTCGGCTTCAAACTCTAAATAAATCATGTTTTAGAGGGTTGTTTGGCCGTCAACTTGTATAGCAGTATAGTTCTACCAGATGCCGGTCGCCTAAGAAACGACATTATTTTCTTTTCAATCTAAAAACTTTGTATCACATTGTCATTCTCACACGAATACGCTTGTGCTACTATGCATGCGAGTGCCTATTGTCATTGTCATTGTCATGCTGACCATATGGGCAAGATAAGAGTAGCCTAATTAGCTATCCTAATGACGCTCCACAGTTTCGGTCCTAGACTGGGTATAATCCCACATAAAGTGAACCCTTGGTCCATATACTTGACAGACAAGTGTGAGGATTGTTCGCTTCGGGGTTGTCTGAGCCAGAGCAGCTCCCTGGGTAGTGAGAGTTGCAGACAGCGGCTGCACAGCTACGCACTATTACAATGATTGCTCAGGCAATACTTGAGAGGAGCCATTTCGCAGTCGCAAAACGACTTCTCTAAAAACGTAGTACATGGAACAGCTAGCTACAAGCAATTTGTCTACTTCTATCAAGTTCAGTGTGTATGCACATAAGGGAAATTAGGCACGAAGAGAGCTTCGAGAGATCATTTTTTGACAATAAAAAAATACATAAATGAAATGAATCAGCAAATGCCTGATAAGAACGCGCTTAGAATGGAGTACCCTTGTTTGGAGAATTTTTACGACCATAAAGCTTTGCTGCGATCTTTTGCGCATTTCATCCTCCTTTAGTTGTTACAACATCTGCTCTAATGCCTCTGACTCTCGAGCAGACTATGGGTTTTTATAGGCCAGAACCGAATGACCTTCTGAAAAAAGTGGTATCAAGCGAACAACTAGCAAAGGTTGGATTTTTTTTTCAAAGTTTAACTGAAAAGAAAAACCTCTGCATACGGTATATAAATGAAAACATTTCAAAATGGGTCAGCGTCAGCCATGCGCAAATCGAGAGAGCACATGGGCAGGTATTGCTCATCATGTTAGGTTTGTTCATAATTCTTGCACTAGAAATACATAAAGTCGTGTTAAAAATGTTCAAAATACATTTCACCTTATATAACTTATTGTGACATGTAACAAATCTCCGGGTGTATGTCAAGAGGCGCGATTTTTATCGCCAGATGGACACTGGATAGCACATAATTAGACTTTTATAACATTCTGAAAGCATTTAAATTTTAGAAAGAGATATATCAAATAGTTGCATGAGTTGCTTAATCTTGCTGCCTTTAACCAATTCAGAACAGCAATTTTGAAGGTCAAAAACCGATGAAAATGCAGTTGAACAAATTCGTAAGCATTTCGGTCCGTCTTCCAGCAAAAGCCACCAAACTCAGCAAGTGGCAACCTCAGACAGATAGTAAGCCAAGGCACTTCATCCGTACTTTTTGAAGCCTCGCATAACACTAAACTGAAGTTTTGAGTTGGTGACAGCCGGAGAAATTGCGCCTCTTGACCGTTTCCCCAAATCTCTCACTCACTATGCCTATCAAGGATTTTGTTCCCAACAAAACAATGCCGAGTAAAAGAACTCGAGAATCAGAACTACCCAGGTACATCTCCTCCAGTACAAATTCCTCGATAAAAAGGATAAAAATCACAATCGAAGTAAATTTAGATCTTGTTGAGCCTTTTAGCGCTTGCTGATGAGATTCAAAGAAGTTTTAGTGTCTTCATCAGTTTGCGTCTGTAAGCCTACATATCCGAATTTGTATCAAAATGATATGCCGGATTTTTGGCTAAAGAAAAGTTGACCTTCGCAAGGCAAATTGCACTGAACGACTTCACTAAAAACGACAAAATCTTTTTTTTTTCTCAAAAACTTCCGCACACAACTTTTGTACATTCCAATACAACTATTTCTTCTTTTTTCCATTACCGTGTCTACAAAATAATTCTTCGCATAAGCAATGCGATGCGCAAAGCGCTCTGTTCTGGTGCGTGCCATCTCGTAAGGATAGTGGGGTGAACGCAGATGTGCGACATCTGCTCATTACATAATGTAAACATGAGGCGTGCCCTTCGCTAGTGCTCACCCTTGAAACTCTCCGGGTCATCTATCTTTCACCTCTTATCACTGTTCATCTAGAGCAATGCTTGTGGTGCTCATCTTCACAAAATGGATAGCTCCAGCGCAACAACTTTTGGCTTTTTTGGGAGTTTCTAATTTCGTTTCGCTGTTCTTCTGCACCACATTAACCGTCCTTCGGCCAAGGATGTATACGACGCGAATATATCAGTACTAGTGAGACTTGCATCCCCAAAGTGCATGGCCGTGCGAGGAGGAGCAAGGCGATGCGCTTTCGCATCGTACTGCGGCTACTTGTTAGCCGAACAAAACTCGTATATCACTCCAATGCATTCGAGAGCAGACAGTGCTAGTGCAATCCCTCGGCTCAAGGCCCGTGGTATGCAAAATGAGATGCGGAAATGCCTAGCTAGGAAAAAAAACTACTCAGGCCTATGATGACATTTGCTTACCCGAGTTCACAAAACCATAGCGGTAAAGTTGGGAGATCATGAACTGCTGAGCAAGTAGTTGACAAAGAGCTGTCACGACGTGTATTTGCTGAGGCATAGGTGGACTGTGCTGCCAGCATGACTTCGTTCCGTGAAGGCATCCTGAAAAAAAAATTCCAACACTTCAAAACACCATGAAATGTTCCCATCCCAAAGTTCTTGTACAATTTCTTGCGACTAAGATTAGTTGAGTTTGATCTAAAGAAGGGTAATCCGGAAGCAAGAACAGCGTCAGTTTATGCGACCATGCTCTTTTGAGCACAAAATACGAGGAGTCCTAAACAAAACATCTGGTTCAAAAATGTTGGTGCTTTATGGCACAAAACGACCACCAAAGTTCGCGCATATATGCGCTTTAAGCACTTGTGAAGAAAATGCAGAGCTGTGAACAAAGAGAGATTCGACTTTTTAGGGTACAAGATTACTGAAATGTCAAATGACTTTTTCGCAGAGAAAATCGTTTCTCAGTTAAGAAAAAATGCGGAGCACTTGAAAGAAGAATTCATCGGAGCAGACAAAGTTACTGAATTGCCAACTTTTGCAAAAAAAAATTCCTTGATTTGGGTAACGCGATCACTAAATGTAATGTAGTACGCAGAGGATTATGAATGATTACGAATGCATTCAGAAGAAATCGGTAAAAATACAGCCCCAAAAGACTCCGAGTGCACTTAAAGACTTTTGTACAAAAAATACAGCCCCACAGTTCATGTCTTGAATTTTTATTCGCAGTGAATTTACTGCCAGGTAGCATCCAGCAGCATGTTTCAGTGTATGGAATCCAGATCCGTTTCATATGGGTAAAAACTCATACAGCCATTGTTTGACAAGCAAATGCCGCTATTCACAAGAAAACGATTGCATGTGGATTATGCTTGGTTTTTGCTCAACCTATGAAATCCCAGGCATTTCATTCGGAGCGCGCATCGTCCGCATTCAGCATTTCCATTGCGACTGGCTCCTCCCCCCCCCCCTTCCCCCGAAGGTGAACTGCCTATATGTCCAGCGAGTCCTGAGCCCCTCAGGGCGCAATAATTAGGATTCTAATCTCTTTTACGACCATAGTATGTCCCTTGTGCCGCGAGCGCTGCCAGAATATTATATAGACTTCCCTTTGGGTACTTTTATTTGCCAAGGATGCAATACGATGAAAAGTTGTGTATGACTTAGTGTAAAAAACAAATATATTGAGAAATATAAATCACCTGATTTTTCTCCTTTTCGATTGCGTGAAACCTCAATGACACGTTCTTCTCGGTCAGCGAGTTTTTCGTTGTCTCCGGCTATATTGCCCGATTTGAAGAATCCAAAGGAGAAGAAAAGCAAAGAAAGTGGGATACACGCAGCATAGAGGGTTACATAGACCGTCAGCCAGGTGTGAGGGTATCCACCAGTCGGCCATTTCATTTCCGTATAGAGTTTATACCTGAATTTTGACATAATTTTGAGTGTAGAGACATACGACGTACTATTCAGGGTTTTATCAATAATTTAAATAATTTGATCCATAAGAGAGAATTAAGTATTTACACCGTGACGAAGTCGGTAAATTTTTATGAGAAGGTATCAGAAAATCAAGAAGTTTGAGTTTCATTTTGCTAGTCTATGGCTCTTTTCTGAAGTACTTGCATAATCTATGTGTGAAAGCGGAGGAGCATTGAGGTTTGTGAGAGATTTGAGGAAGGAATGGTTATTGTGTAATAGGCAAGCACGAAAAACGAGCTACCATTACATCAAGAATTTTTCTATTAGTTTTCGCGATCAGAACGTTGAGTTGAGGTGTGATTTACTTCATTTTAAGATATGTATACGTCATGGACAAAAAGCCAAGTGCGAGGAAATTCGATACTGCTGCAGGCTTGAGTGGCTAAAAAGATTGACACCAAAAAATGGGGCGATAAATCGGATAAGGCACGAGACAGCAAAGTAAATCAGCGGATTTATTCTGAGAAATAAGCGTTCACACGGCAGAAAGCAAGCATTTGAAAAACAAAGCCAAAACAACATACCTCTCAAATCCTAGAAAGAGTAGATAGCTTTGAATGCATATCACTACAACAGTGTACCAAATGGAGCAGATTTGATTTAATCGTGCACGAAATGTACATCCCATGGTCTCGAAAAAAAATCTGTACAGCTAGCGTTTCCTTCTATGAATGGTGAAACTATCGTTGTAGAACGGAAATGACAGCAATTCGGGTACCAGTCACATCTGGCGCACACGGTGATCTGAAATGGTGTGAGTTGAGTTGTCATAACAGCTCGACGAATGCGTTGGTGACGATGCGGATGCGAAAAATTCAGCTAGGTAGAACAGGAATAGCTGCTAGGAAAATAAAGATGGAGAGGGACGGAAGAGTGCATGGCAATTTTGGCTTTGACCAGAACTTGATTCTTATGCTGGCAAACTAGCACTTCTTTGGTAAAGTAAGGCAAGAGAGGCCGAGGCAAAAGAGGCGGTCCTTGCTACGAGTAGTGAAAAGAGTGGAGTTTTTGAATGGGTGGAAATATCATAACGGTGCTTGGATCAATACTTCACACGCTATAATATAATGCGGAAAAAGTTTGAATGTAGCTGAGTATGGAACAGAATGCGTGGAAACAAAACGATGTAAAAAGTAAGATTATACGGGGAACGATGTGGAATTCACAATGAGACAGACGTGAACGAAGCTGCGCCTTTTGTTTCTTTTGAATTTGACTGCTTGCTCAGCACTTTTGTTCAAGTGCAAATCCTGTTGCTAAACAAGTACGCTGCAAACGATGCGAGAATTGAGCGGTAAAAAAATTGTACGTGGAAATGAGTTTTTGAAGCAGGCTTATTCGTAAAGTAGAAGATGTGGGAATATCAGCAGGGTCCGTAAGTTATCCAAAGTGCTACAAAAAAAAAGGAAAATGACAACAAAAACTAAGCACAGTTAGACTCGTGAAGCTTCGATATACGCCTTATCGTCTCGAAAGTGCAGCATAACATCCCAAGAAAGCTACTTCACTTCTTTGCGATTATAAAGCATGCATAATTCACAAAATGAACAGCATTCATCTTTTGTAGTAGTAAAATACTTAAGCGGGGGTATGACAATTTTCCTTTAGTTTCAAAAAACTTGAGCGGGAGAATGTACGACAAATGCTCGGTTTTTGTTCCCTGAAGACGTCAAAATGCACATATTCAATGTATCAAAGAGTTCTGATAGCATACGTGCATAGATCCCCTGCCCTTTACATTAAGACAGGTCCAAGGCGAAAGTGTTGGAGGCCAAAAATCATGAAAATGCAGCTATAGCAAATCTGCAAATATTTGGTCGATTCCAGCAAAAGTCGTCGGTATTCCAGCACGCTTTTTCAAGGGTAGAATGGATTTGAATACGTAAGCTACAAGGAGTTAAATTCTACGAGACACGGACAAAAGAAAGAGACCACGCTTGGCACACAGGGCCACGCATGCGGCAGTATAATAGATGTTCTCGTCGTGTGGCGAGTCGTGGAGGATCACTCTCACCCCTCGTGCAAGTGAGCATAGCGAGGTGAGGGCGTGGATGAATAATGCGACTAAGCAAGCTACGTGTTAATCAATGTCCGGCTGTGGGGTCGTGAGCTGGACGCGGACATACCGCGTAGATTTACGCGCTCGCGGACAGGAGTCGCAACGGCGAGTCCGCGCCGGGTTCTGCTGACCTCTTGCGGCCACGCGTGTTTCTCACACTACCTCATCGACGCGCTACAATAGCCACTTTGCACGACACATTGCCAAATCGCGATCATTACGCAACTTAGGCGTGAATTACCTACTAATCTCCTCTACTTCCTCTCAAGTTTTTTCTCTCCTACTTTTTTCGCAATTATAGCAGTAACACTACCATACTAACGCTAAGAATTTTGTCAAACAACCCTTGTCAGCGTAGAAATGCATTCGAAAATTTGCTGTGCGACTGGACTTACAAGAAACTTTTTTGCCTTTACTGGAACTCGATCATTGCATGTATACCAGATCGCAAATAGATGGTGACGTTTCATCAATCTCTCACGACATGAAAGTTTTTTCCTAGTACGAGAGCTACTGAGATAAAAAGTCGTTGATTTCCAAGAGACGCATTGGTACAAGAGTACATACAAGGTACCATGAAATAGGTTTGTCATTTTCAAGCTTAGAAAATGCACTAGCTTGTCACATGAAAAACATATGAGGAAGAGAGACAAGGAAATAGACAGAAAAGGGAAAAAACGAAAGAAGAAAAATGGATAGATATGGGAAAAAGTAAATAAAAGGTCACCGTATCTTATCAATGATTGTGAAGCCCGAGGATATGAACTCAGAGAAGATGCGACAGACTTCGAGTAATTAACAATTGTTTTTCCTTTATTCAGGGTTTCATCAAATAATGCTAAAAGTATGTGAAGGAAGGAATGAGCGTCAGACTAGCAAGAACAAGAACAGATAAACATGATGAATTATCTAAATAAGAGCAAAAGGTGCGGCACTTTGAGCAACTCCCTTATCGAACCAAAAAACTGGGTCGTCTCATATTGCACGAAAAATAGAGTAGATTGTGTAGAAATAAATTTACGTGTCAAGATCATCATCTCGACTGAGCACTGAGCTGACAACTGGGATAAAAAGCGAAAAGCTTGGAAGTGAAATCGAAGAAAAAACGACAAATGGCTTAGCTCTTTTCCAAAGAACAACGCAAATCAATGCAGAGTAACGCCATTAGCTTAGCGGATGCAGTGCAGTCAATTTGCCGCACTGCTTCCAGCAATACATCTCCGGACATATGGGGGTGCAATTGCTGAAGAAAGTGCATTTGAGGATTAAAAAAGCGAGGCTTGAAAAGTACATTTTACTATAAGCTGCAAATTTGTTCGAATAGAAATCCAACTGCTCCCATATTTGAACTTTGCGGCCTTCGATGCAATTAGACGTGCGCGATGTACACGAATATTGGCGAATTTCTTTGATGGTATCAAATACCCGATACATCAGTAAAGTGCACATTAAAAAGTGCACTATACGAAGCCAATGTTTACGCTTTTTATAAAACTGTACTCTGGCTCTAATAGCCCGGTCGAATCCATAGCCGTGTGCACAAAAACACCTCTACAAACTTGATTTCTATCGTTGTTAGCAAAGTAAATCGCTATAGGTACAGAGTGGTAAATCGCATTTCTGTGTGTTCGCACTATTGTACGAGTTACGTCGTGTTTGGTGGGATTACATATTTAGAGTGATGTCGCACGTTGACAATGACGCCGATTATGCTCTGTGAATGTAGAACAAAAGCACAAGGTGGGGGTCAGAGAGCCACTTGCCGTGGATAACGCGAAATCGCTAATTGCACTCGCCAAGGACGGAATCAGTGGGTGGAGGAACGAATTTTAGCAGTAGGCGCCGCCTCCGCGGGCTACTGGTCCTTACAAGGTATGCAATAGTGTGAGCGAAAGGACTAGTGGTCCGCAGCGGCGGAATTCGCTTTCTATCCCGTGCAAAAGCACAGCTGTGGACGAGTCAGAGAAATGCAAACTTGGTAAAGATGCTCTAATCGCACGCAAAGCAGCATAAAACAAACAAACACTGTGATTACGCATAGGTCCTTAATTGCACCTGCGTTTGGCTGATTGACAGCATGTTAGCCGTGCAAACGAGTAAGACAAATTAAATGGGAAAAAAGTGTAGCTAGATCCTCTCTTCTCAAGAGGAAAATAAAGATGATCCGGGCCGAGACGAAGCATTCTAGCGCGACTCTGTCTCTCTGAGGAATAGCAAAACGACCGCGGTGGATTACGTTTTCGCGAAACATCGCCAGTGCAAACACGACACTGAGGTGATGGGGGTGTAAAAAAAGCCAGAGATAGCAAGCTATGTACAGCAAGCAATACAATATATTCGGCTAACAAAGGCTATGCGAAAAAATCAAACAGCTAACTGGAGAACATTTGTAAACAGATTCGTTTTGAGGCAGTTTTCTAAGAAACCAGATAGGACGGCAAAATTTCAAAAAGATTGAGAAGTTTCAGATAGCTCGAACTCCAAAATCTTGTACAGTAGCTGTTCTTTGGGATTCAAACATTAAACTTTTGAAAAAAGCAAAATGGACTGCTGTAATTGCGACAGAGAAAAGATCACATGTTTCATGATAAAATTTTTTTTTTTGATTAGAGCATTTTGCAATATTCTGATTAGGGTAATAAATCAATCGATACAAGAAATACACTAAATTCAAAATTAGGCTCCACGCTGTTCGTAAAACTGGAAAGAATATTCCTCTTTGAGCCAATGCATTACATACTGTCAAGTTAAATCCACACAATCACCGATTACATTTGCACAGACGATGCTCAATGACAGGCGATCTGGTCAATGGTAAAGCAGATGTGAACCACAAAAACTGGAGAAGAATAACTATTTTCTTATTATGTTTTCTCTTGGAAGATACATTATGCGACGGAACTTCGCAATATGATATGTTTACCTTGTTTCGAAAAAGTGAGCGTACAATGAACCCTCGCACAATGAAAGAAGTTTAAAATGTTCAGAGAAACAATAGAAATGTGAAGAAGCCGGGGAAGATCTGCCAGCACAATTGTTACTACGGCCAGGATGTATGTCGCAAGACGCGCGTTTCGGCAATCGTCATTGCCAAAGTGAACAAAAGCAACGTTTTTGAGCTCCGTAAAGCAGTATATCACACATGTAGTTGAGGGATGCATAGGTTTTTGAAACTAGAAAAAACAAAACACTTTGTATTTTTTCCTTGTTCCTGTGACAGCAGAGCAATCCGCGGTTTTCGACCGCCTCAACCCAAGCAATGGCCAGCAACAGTTGCTCTTTACCAATGCCTATCATTAGAAAAAGTGAAAATAATTTAGAAATTTGCTATCACAGCTATGTGAAAACTACTTTTTTGGAAAAGAGATTGCAGCTCTAAGAGAAAGTTTATTTTGCCAGTATGCTAGGAACAGATGTCGTGCTCACACTAAATATTGTCAAAAAAGCAGAAACGCCTGGGAAATTCCCAAGATTCCTTGCAACTTATGAGGAAAAGGTGCTTATGGAGCTAATCATTCAAACATGTTTTGCGAACTTAGAAGGATTTTATCAGTAGAAGAATCAGATCCCAATCCATTCTTGCAAAGAAGGGAAAAAATCGAAGCATAGAAAGAACATCTTGAAGAAAATGAAAAATGAAGAAACTCTGACAAATGGAAAAGGATTGAATGAAAACATAAAGATGTGGTAGAATAATGTTTTTGTTCTTATGAACTCAGAATTCACATATGGTCCGACTATGCAGTGTTTTACCGAGCAAAGAAATTTGCTGATAATGATGTTCTGCTTCCGCAGTCTCGAAGAAAATGGAAGAATGCAGATATAGTTTTTGGCTTAGGCAAATAAAGTTCAGATCAGAGTGTCTTATATTTCTATAATTATTATGTTGAATAAGTCTTGTACCATAAGGCAACTTCGTTATCTCCTTCAATTTGAGTGACTGTACGATTGATACTTCCGAGATTGGAAAAACCTTGATTCTAAGTTTACGTGAATGAAAAAATCGTCGTTGGCATATCGCAACGAAATGAGCCGATCAAGGGGATCATTTTGAAAATAATTTCTTTACATTTTGGTCACTAAAAGCTGACTTTTGATCCAATTTTAATTCGATTTTTCCTGTATTGGACTGCTCCTTCTATCTAGAAAAAAAGTGTTCTGATCGGATGTTTCTAGGAATAATCATATTTATAACGCTCTAATTTAACTATAATTGTGGCATAGAAAATCTTGTACGGTAAAATACGTACCCATTACATATCATAAGAGGTGGTAATATACCGTATGTATTCAAAGCATTTGAAAAACATTTTCAAAACTCTACCAAAGGTTGACTGCAGATAAAATATTGACAAAGCAGCTGCTTCTCACGATTTTGTAGCGCACTGGGCCCTTCTCACACATAGCTAACCCCTACTCGTCCAGATGGATTACGCCATGGACTTATGCACGAATGGAGCCTCTTAGAAACATAACCCCAGCAAACTGACTCTTCCGCGCTCATTATAGCTTTTTTCGGTCCAAGAAGAATAATCAAGAAGAAGAAGAAGAATAATCCTCGTAAAGGACATGTTGGTGGTCTGCAAAAGAGCCTGAAACACCAGGGTAAAGAGTTCATCAAGTCTTTTTAGATTCTTACTCGTAAAAAACGCCTCACACTAGCATTTTTTATAACAACATTTCAAAATCGCAGTCATCACGTCAAATGCAAACCAAGAACAATAGCTCATATGTATGTTGAGATGTGTTTGAACAGATACCACAGGTGTTTTTTCTTTATATTGATGATTTCAACTGAAAATACAGTGATCCAAAACTACCAATGCCCAACCAAAAAATTTTGAGAAGTTTGCTAATCGATCACGGATTTTTTACTCTTCAGAAAGAATTTAGAAATGGGAGAGGGCGCTAAAAATTTCTATTGAAATCGATGGAGCGTCCTTTGGAAAGTGGGTATGACACCAATACACTACCAAACACCTGTACACCTGTACACTACCAAACACATGTTGCGAACGAAATAAAATGTGGCAAATTTATAGGACTTTGCATTTACCGAATCAAAAAATTTGTGAAACTTCAAAGATCTCCGCTTGTGTCTGCCAAGCATCTGTCGTGGATCTTCAAAAGCGTCCTAGATTATAAATTGTGAATGAGATTTTCTGGTCAATGTACAGGTAATATCACAGATCGATCAAATCGATTTGTTGCTGGATAATTTCATGAATGAGAGGCTTCGTGCAAAGCTTTCTATCGCGTTCCGGCCTTGACAATGAATAGCGCGGAAACAGCCGGTCATCCGTTCAGTGCTTCTTTTTGTTATTCCTTTCATAGATCATCAGTCTCACAGAACTATGGCAAAAGCTTCAAAACAGGACTTAGATATCCGAAAAGTATAAGATTCACGATTTTTTTCGTTCAAAGTTTTAACATCTTAAAGGCGTGTCCGGGCAAAAACTCGATTCTGAGATTTTGTGCTTATCTGGTATTCACCATGCTGAATCCGAAAATCCTCACCGGAAAGCGCGAAAACGGCGAAAAAGGGCCCTAACGCTGGACGGAAATCAGCAAGTGGGCGGGGTCTTCCCCAATGTGGATTCACGCTCCAAGCTTCCGGAGCAATATTCTCGATTCCAATTTCAAGTCATGTATTCGCACCTGGCCTGTGGAGATCTCAGGGCGCTAGCGGAATTGAGAAAATCGCTTCAGAAGCTGGGACCGCGAAATTCACAGTGGGGAAAACCCCGCCCACTTGTGATTTCCCCCTGCGTTAGAGCCCTTTTTCGCCGTTTTCGCGCTTTCCAATGTGGATTTTCGGATTCAGCATAGTGAATAGGCCCGGATAAGCACAAAATCTCAAAATCGAGTTTTTGCCCGGTCACTGCCTTTAAAGTAAACAAGTGTCCTACATGCAATTTTTTCTTCTCTCTGCTATAAAACTGCCAAACGAGCTTCCGCAGATTTTTCGTAGTTCCAATGCTTTGCCTTTCGTCGCTCATGCTCTCTTCTTCCATAATTTTTGAAGTAATCCTCTTTGATTCAAAGGATCTTGCTGAGAAAGAATCTGTCATGTATGAAGCAGCCCTTGATTAGACTCGAAAAAGCTTAAAAGTGGAAAGGTTGTCGATTCACAATTAAATCATAGTTATGTCAAAAATATTTAGTAGTTATATCAAGAATAGTTAGAGTCACAAAACATCCATACACTTATGTGTTACACAATCATTTCTTCAATTCGAATCTTCATAATAACCCTACAAAAATTTGTAGAGATAATCCTATAGAAAATTCAACTGTCAACAGAGAGGATTCGATAAAAAAGGGCACGAGGCTTGATGAACGTTTCCAAACAAACGTTGGGGATAATTTTTGAACCCAGATATGGGAAGAAATGCAGAGCACCGCTTACTCGACGCAACACCAAATGACTTGAGATTTTTACTTTCATACACGAATATTAGAGAAAGCCGTCTCAGTTAGTATAATTCGATCTGCAACCTACAGTAACGATAGCAGTCGTAAATTTATCTACGCTGATGATAATAGAAGCACGACAAACACAGAACCTAATTATGACCCACTGGAAACACATTACCAGTAAATAGTGATTTGATGACAAGTGCAGTTTCAAAGACTTTTATCTTTATCACTACAGGAACAGAGAAGCGAAATTCTTTCAGAATATTAGAAGGCAAGAGGAAATCGAAGAATGAGGTTCTGACCGGAAGCCTCACGGCGAGTGACCGCTTGTCCTATCGATCTGCCGCCCACAGAGCCGTCGTCCTCTTCCATCATTTGTTGGCTGCGGTAATTTACTTGAGAAATTTGCAACGGCTAGATCCGTCCACTTTCATGGACGAATTTGACTATGAGGAGTATTGAGCGATGCTGCAATGTATTGTGGAATCTTGAATTTAGGCAATGAAAGCTCAAAATCCTGAGACAATGTCACTAATGTACTAGCGATCAGCGCTAGTACACGTAGATGCGATCCTAAATGACTCCAGCTTTTCCTTGCCAGGTTTGTGTCATTACTCCGAATAAGCAGTAAATTCCGGGTATACTGTCGAAAAGGCGAGAAGAGCGGAGTGTAATCAAATGAATAGGAACAGATCTACGACATTATCGAGTCACGCTCCACTCAGTTCTAAGTTTGTTGAGATTGGCGTACGATAGCGTGTAGGGAATCGCCCAAGTCTCACTGCAAAAACTATATTCCGAAGAGGGAAAATCGCTACAGTAGTAGGTGGATGCTGCTAGGGTACCCACGCACAGCCGTGGGTGACTTATAGGTAATCAGCTTAAATCTAATTAGTAATATTTAGCTATGTCGCATAAACACCTTCCATTGTAGAAGACAGATATACGATATTTCTAGGAACTCCGAGTCCAGTTTCCGGCTCAAAACTTCAGGCCAGACAAGACAGTGGGCGTGGCGACCCCAGCAACATTCAACTTCTTCAACTCCTTTCTCGCTTCGGTTACTCCCTTTGCATCGAGACTTGAGCAGTTAGGTACTAGGCCCATATGCACCTACATCTCTGGGGAAGGCGAGGTGATCTGAGAGGGGGCACGTCATATCTCGCTACTTTCTCTGCCAGTTCCTAGCTTAAAGGCAGTGTCCGGACTAGTTTGAGGGTTGGAAAATCACTGCCGCGCAAAAGTTGCCGCCCTGACATACCCACCAGCCTAATGTAGGCATATTTCGTGAAATTGGAAGCGAGAAAAATGCTCCAGAAGTTGGGAGAGCCATGCCACGATCGGAGGACCCCACCCACCGAGTTACAAATTGATAAGCTAGAGTGTGTATGTTGGACACAGTCAAGACGTGGGCCCCACCACGACTCTGCGTCTTTGAAGGCAGCGTCAAGGCAAATCTTGACATATGGGGATCTCACGTGGATAGTAATTTTGAGGCCCTAACTAAGCCACTGCCCGAGCTCAGGTAGTGCTCTAACGGCTGAGACATCCCCTCGAAACTGCACCTCAGGATCGTATTTCGCATGGATTCATGGCGCAACCCATCATTTTCGCGTGTGTCCTCGAAAGAGGGGTTGCGCCATGAATCCATGCAAATACAATCCCGGGGTTCGGTCTGGAGGTAATTATCTCAGCCGTTAGTGAGTCATTTGCGCTGCCACTTGGGCAGTGCCTTAGTAAGGGCCCCAAAATTACTTTCTACGTAAAATCCTTATAGGTCCAGATTTGCCTGGACGCCCTTCAAGTGGAAGCATAGGAAGCTTAGATCCAACCTACAGATTGACATTGCCCGATCCCTATGAGACTTATGCTGGAATCAAGAAGGTGTCATGAAGCTGGTGATTCACCGTGTGTAGCGCGCCGGCCTTACTGTGTGCTTATTTGTGAAGAGTACATTATTTACAGCTTTATTGACATAACATGATGTATTATGTAAGGAAATGAATTTCACTATAAATGGCGCGCATTCACCCGCTATATCTGCTACTAACAATGGGGAGCAAATGCTACGCTAATTTGCAAATCTCCCAAAGTCTTTGGGATTGGATTCAAATGTGAGTTCATTTTTCCTACTATTTTCTCTTTAAACTGATAACAAATATGACAAGAACGGCTCCTATAACAAAGTAAACATGAGCATCCATAAGTAACATTGAATGTGATTATGAGGCAATGTCCTGTTTTTTGATAAGTTGGTAATACCGTCCTTTCCGGCTGATCAGTTCCTGATGGCTGCCAGCCTCCCTGAAAAGCCAAGTTTGAGAAGAGTTGGAAATAATCGGATGAATGAGGACAAAAAATTTCGAGGACGAACCTGACTTTTCCATTTTCCACGTACAGGATGAGATCAGCATTTTGTATGCTAGACAGACGGTGAGCGATTGTTATGCAGGTCCTACCTTCCCTTGCCAAGTCTAACGCTTCTTGCACCGCCTAAATCAAGTTTTACAGGATTTTTATAGATCTCTCTAATCAGACTTGACATAAATACTCAAAAATTCTGGTAAATCATGACAATGCTCAAAGAATTCATAGCAGACCTTTTCACTTTCCGTGTCTAGCGCACTTGTGGCCTCGTCGAGCAACAAGATGACAGGGTTTCTCACCAAAGCCCTAAAATGGTATTAGAACTTCGCTGAAATTGGTTTTGGAATGTTTTCACCTAGCAATAGCTATCCTTTGCTTCTGCCCTCCAGAAAGTTGTGTACCTTTTTCTCCAACTTCTGTGTCGAGGCCCTGAAAAAAGCGCCGAGATTTTGGCTACTTCAGCAAGAGCCTCTCTGAAGCTTGAAACTGCTTACTTGTGGGAGATTACTGAGGAATTTGGTAGCATTAGCTATCTCAAGAGCTTCTCGTATTTGAGTGTCATTGACTTCCTTCAAGCCGAGACAAATGTTTTCTCTGGAAATAACAAAGAGAATAATAATGAGAGGAAACAGTAACACTTTTGCGTATGAAACTACTACTGTTTTCTGTAATAAATTTCCAAAAATCATGCTTTTCCATGGTGAATCTCGCACAAAAGGGGGAAAATTGCATTTTATTAATCACTCGGTACTAAACGCCATGGTTTTGATCTTTTTCTTTTTGTTAGTGATTTGTCCTAGAAAAACGGCCATAACACTCACTTTATAGTTCCTGCGAATAATCTCGGTTCCTGACCAACGAGTGCCACTTGGGTTCGTAGATGACGGAGACACATTTTGCGAATGTCTTGTCCGTCGAAACGCTGAAGGAGGGTCGATTAAAAATTCGTAAACTCCGTAAATTATTTGGTCAACTGATTCCGAGCAACTCACAATAGTTCCAGCACTTGCGTCGTAGAATCGCTCTAAGAGCGATATTACTGTACTTTTTCCGGATCCAGATGGACCGACTATGGCTACCGTCTGGCCTTTCTGTACGGTAAATTGAAGTCCTCGCATTATAGGTTGATGAGGCCTTTGAGGGTAGGAAAAGTGCACGCCTTCGAAAAATATATTTCCTCTGAGATCCTAAAATTCGAAACATTCAGTATATATTAGATAAGATTTATACCATCCTGAATCTTAGCTTACCTGCACAGTACCCTTGTTTATATCACCAGTTTTAGATTTTCTATTGATCATATTGAATAACATTCCTGCAGCTGTACGGGCTTTGGTAAACTCAGGGAAGAAAGTGGAGCAGTTCATCATGGCCAGACATGACAGAAGCACGGAGAACACAGATCTAAGATGTGGGAGATTTCATTTTGAGTTTGAGACAAAATTCTAAGCTACCTGTAGACTTCTTGAACATTGTAATCCCAACGAGTGATCAATGGAATACCAACAGCATAAGCAGCTGCCAATGCGAAATATACAAATGTTTGGGTAAGAGAGAAGCTTGCAGCTAAATAAAACTCGTTTAAAATTGAGCAGCTTCTAACACTTACTTCAAACCTTCATAGTATCCCTTCGTCATCTCATTTCTCTTTTGTTTTTTTGAGGCTTCCTCGTATTTTTCATAGAAGTGACGTTCTCGTGTAAGCAGCTGGATTGTGCGAACATTCTCAATAATCTCGATGGAAAACTATAATCATAAATTATGACGAAATTTGAGTTTTCGCGAATTTTTAAGCTCAACTCACCTTTCCCGCTTGATTTTCTTTCATGACGTAGAGATTGAGCACTTGAATTTTCCTGGCGAGCCAAATCAAGGTGAAACCAAGTAATACGCTGAATCACAATCATTTTTCGTAGAACTGTGCTTTGCAAATTATTAGGTTAACAACAAAATAGACGCATTTTATCACAGCTTCCTTTTCTTAAATGCCGATGCGTTATTGCAATATTGATATCCTTCTACCACTAATGCCTTCTTTATTGCCTCGGTGCTTTTGTCCAGGGTTAGCCGTTTTAATCACCTGACAAGGGAGGTCCGTTTAGTCGCAGTGGCCTTTCCAAATAAGTCGTACATTATTCTGGAGGGCATTAAACGCTGATAAATCTGATTTTCTTATCTGCCGAGCGCCTCTGCATGCCGAGTTATGAATGTTTTTCGGTGCGGAAAATGAACGCATTAGGTAAAATTAAACGTTGCTGTCTTTTCAGCCTCAAATAGAGCAGTGTTGAGTATTAGTGTTATGAACAGAACGCATTTTTCAAAAGAAATGCTCTGATAATTAACATTGGACCAATTGAGCAATTCTAACGGATTTTGTACTAATTACGCATTCAATTTTTCAACTTAAAAAACGCTCAAGCGTGAGGCGCTTGGCAGATATCGAAGACAGATTCAGAATCAGTATTCGATGCCCTTCAAAGGTATTAGTTTCATAAGGAAAGGTTACTTCAACCAAACGGATCTCCCCTGGGAGAAGAAAACTTCAGGTCTAACTATATGGAGACCTTCATTAATGTGAATACACAAATTGGTCGCATTTCAACCCAAATTATTTATAGAATGGGCCAAAAACATGTGGAATGATATCCTAACACAAATATTGCCAAAAGCAGTACTTTCTTGAATCTCTTGTAATGATATTAGGCTATACAAGACTGGCAGAAGAAACAAAACTTGGAACAGAATGTTTGAGGCAAAAGGACAGCTTCGTTAACTGAGCTCAAAGATCGCACTGTCTTAGACAGTTTGAATTCATGCAAAAAAAAATCAAAAAGTGATATCTACAGCTTAAAGACGTTAACGGGTTGCATTTGGAGTGATTACGGTATAAAGTTTACCTCATTACCAATCCAGTAAGTCCAACTTGCCAGCATGATACGAATGCAAGAATGAGACACACTAACCATGCTGTCATATTGAACACCACATACATCATTCTGCTATCCAGAACCTGTAAGATTTGGCTATCTTCCATGCTGAATTTCTGCCCAGAAATTCTCAAGACCTACCGCTTTCACATTTGGTGCATCAGACGCAAGTCTGGTGATTAGACGTCCTGGCGCATGTTGCGGGTTGTCGAAATAAGCGGCATCCTGGAAAATGCAGCTTTTATGCTACATTACTTCCGTCTTAGCATGTACTCGAAAGAGAAGAGTACTAATCCAACCTGATGCAGAATGTTGCGGAAAGCCTTGACTCTGTAGCGAAGTATAAGCTCTTCAGAGACTTTACCAAATAAAATAGACTAAATTTAGAGGATCAACTTAAAAAGCGGAGATGTAAAGCAAAAAAAATCTTACAGCTGTGAAATGCAGAAGAAATACTCCAATGGAGACGCAAACGTATACGATAAGACAAATGACTAAAGCCGGTATCATTTGTTCCCTGTCAGTATCGTAATAGCTAATGGCTTGGAACACCTGAAATGACATAAGAAAAAATTCCATTACGGAAGGAACTCAGTCTCAAGGACAGTGTTGCGTGCTCGTGCGGCTAGAGTTCTGCGTCGCGTCTGCAAACATATCTGTGAGTATTTCTCAAGTTCGGGCCCTTGAGCCTAGTTGGGAAAGCCCACATATTGCAGACGCGCCGCAAGTCCAAGCATGCGGCCGCGCCGGACGCAGCCGCATGAGAAGTAGAAACTGTTATTGACGCAAAGTTTGACAATTTACCATGGCATAGATGAAAGCACCGCAAGGCATTTCAAAACCTCGAGCTATTGCGGTTATCCACGAGAGAATAATGTAAATGTAATGTCCTTTTGCATTTGCGAATATAGTAAGTAAACCAGCTTTGATCTCTCCATCCTAAAAAAATTATTCTTTATATAAAATAATGAATTTGAGCAAATGGATTTACAGTTTTCATCTCCGCTTTGATTTTCTCCTCATAAGCGTTGCTCTCATCCGTCACCACCGCAACCTGTTCTCCGGATATTACAAGACTGCTCCGGCTAAAATATGTCCTTCTCGTTCTATGTTCTAAAACTACTCATTGCTATCTAAATTACCTGAAAGAATCCTGGGCCTGAACTCCTCTGACAAAAGCAGCTTCACCGAGTGCAAGGCTTTCCGTGCTTCTACGTGTCACCTCTCCCTCGTAAACTGCGCTGAATTTATTGGAGTTTATAAATTATAGCGCAGGACAGAGATGTTAAATTTGGATCGAAAACCAACTCGTGATCTACTTTTTCCTCATCTGGGAGATTTTCATCTGCTTCAGGTTGAAATTGTTGCGCTCGCACAAGTTCAGCATATCTTTGATCAAGCTCTATCAGTTCCTGATGAGTACCTTAATAGAAACAGTTTTTAGCCTAAAAAGTCAGATAAGTGGGTTATGATACCTAGCTCGACAATTACGCCTTTGTCAAAAACTGCTATCCTCGTAGCTTGTCGAATGGTTGACAACCGATGAGCAATTACTATAGTGGTCCTGCCTTTCGATGCGTTGTCAAGAGCTTGCTGGAAATTCATGATAAATTGTATAACATAGTCGCATCCCTTTGGCAAATGATGGCAAGAAATTCACTCGTTGGAGTGACCTCATATTGGTAATGATTAGCAATGCTTTGAACAAGCTACGAACTGAGTGGGAATAGTATCCTACATATATTTTTAGATTCAAAAATGCAAGGCATGGTGCGAACGAAAAAGATCAAGTTACTTGAGATAGCCAAAGTAATGTTACACGCTAAGGCATATGAGTACGAACACCGACTTCGCATTCGAAACAAATACGACTTCAGTTTGTAGAAACGACTGGGGAAATGTTCGATTTTCAAAAAACATTTGAAGAAGCGACCGATCTAATCGGTTATGATTTAATCACAGATAAACTGGGGCTGGTTTTGGGCAGCTTTTATTGCTTCAGATCACCCGGCAGCGTAAGACAGGCGCTAGACTTACCTTAGCCGCTTCATGATTGGCCGATGATCTAGCCAATCATGAAGCGGCTAATTGGTTAAGCGATGAATCTGGCGCCTGGAGGGCCTTCATTACATCAAAAAAAATCACTCCCAACTTTGTCTGGGTGATGTCTTCAAGCTTCTGTATAACGATTATTCAGAAAAAATTCTACCTGCACGATACTTTCACTGTTTGCATCGAGAGCCGAAGTGGCCTCATCAAGGAGCAGAATTCGTGGATTTCTTGCTAATGTACGCGCTATCGCAATACGTTGCTTCTGACCACCTGATAACTGTACGGCACCGTCACCGATCATAGTAGAGTACCCCTAGAAACATTCAGATTTTATCACTCCTTTCCACTAACTGTCCAAATCTCACGTTAGGTAATTTCATAATAAAATCATGTGCGTTAGCTAGCTTGCACACTTGAATCATCTCGTTTCTCTGAATTCCTGGACTTCCTACTCGCAGATTTTCCTAAAGAATCTAATCTATATTACTTCGGTAAAAATCAAAACCTTGAAATCTTTACCTCTATGGTCCCATTAAACAGCATAGGTTCTTGCTGGACAATGCCAACCGTATTTCTAAGCCATTCTAAATTGACCCTTCGCACATCATTTCCATCGATTTTCACCTAAATGTCATTTTCTATGTTACGTCAAAATTCAGTTGCTTTAAGTAAGATTTACCGTTCCGGCTTCTGCCTCATAGAGGCGGGTGATAAGACCAACGGAAGTGGACTTTCCACAACCACTATGTCCGACCAATGCAACCGTTTCGCCTGGTTTTATTGTGAGAGTGAGACCATTTAGTACCTAAAGCATGTTTTGTATTTCTTATGATTTAGTTGTAGAAACTGCCATAGCTATAACACTCTTTACAGCTTTACGGCTTTGCAGTCAGAATTATCTGATGAAAAGATAATTGCAAGTTATTAGGATGTCACTTGAGTCTTGAATCAATTTCGAGGGAAGAATTTGATTAGTATTTCATACTATTTATTGCGCATGTTGTACATGAGCATCCCCCATAGAAGGTTAGTTACAGCAAAGTGAATTTCGAAAAGTCCGATCGCAATGAGTTTATCTTGACCAGAAAGAGCGAGTCACAAAACCAAAACAAAAAGTATTAAGTTTTATTGGACCCTTCAATATTTGTAACGATTTATACAGAAGAAAAATGACCTAAATGTTTTCTTTTTTAGCTTGTATCCCAGCGATCTGTCAAACATTGATATATTTGCATTCAGCAGCATTAGAAAACTGATGATTTTTCCCCGCAGTATATTTTGAACTCAACAAGTTCGTTGTAAGTGGTGAATCTATAGACTTGCAAGAAAATTTGGTTCAAGACTCATGGACGACCCAGCAGTAATGCAAACAAAAGATTTTTCGAAAGCTGGTGATTTTTGGATTCACTTCCAAATCCTGACTAGTTACCACTCAGGAAATTGACTAGACTTTTGTTACGATTATTTTACCTATATTTCCGAAAGTTTTTGTGTGCATTCCACTGCCCAAGTTCTTTGGTTAAGGAATGGAACACCTACTTTTGTGTCCTTTCTAGTCGGATAGCGAAAATGCACATTGTTGAATTCGACCTCTCCTTTGGTGCTCATTGGAATTTTGCCTTCCGCAGAGTATGGATCAATTTCCGGAGTCTAAAAGAAGAGTTCACCACAGACTAAAATAAATACTGCTGGAGATCCATTTATTTTACCCTATCTATTATGTGATATATTGTAGCTGCCGAGACTCTTGCGTTTAGCAGAACCATTAGATGAGGAGAGATCACGCCAAGAAAGTAAGCACCAATCATCATTGATATTACTACAGTAATCACTTCTCCTCGATCTTCGATTGCTCCGATTTTTAGTAGGTGACCACCGAATCTGTAATGTGCAACGAATGATAACCTGGGGCAGATAATGAGTAAAGCATCAATGGAGCGGATCAAACTCACAAGAAACCTGCTCCAATATAAGTGAAAAGGATAACGTAGAAGAATCCTCCCCAGAATCCGCTCCAGAAGCATTTTGTTTTAGCATATTTTTGACCTGTGCTGAGCGATTTGGAGTATCTGAAAAAATGTGCATTGTTGACTAGCTCAAGCTCCCAAGAAAATCTCACCTCTCCACCATTTCCTCTTGTCCATTTAGAGCTTGTACCGTCCTAACACCCAGAACAGATTCTTCCGCGATCGCACCAGCTTTTCCAACATTCATAAGCTCTTTAGCTGTTGATTCTGCCATTTTCTAAAAGTGCCGTGTAATCTGCTGAAGTTGCGCTCGTTTTTTGGTGCTATTTCATTTCAAGGGATTTTGAGTATTCATTGACTTTGCTGAACAAAACTTTGTCTGAAAGGGAGGGGGCTAATCGCAATTCTGATTCTGGTATTTTGATCTTGTGAAGAGATCCCCGTGCACGATCAAGAGGGAGACATATCACATACGAAACTTATCAAAAAGGCCTTTTCAATTTTTGCCGAAATCATAATCGTAATCAGCTTATTGAAAAACCCCTTCTGAACAACGTACTAGGAAAATTTGGGATCTCTAACAATTTATCGTATACCTAACGTAATTGCAACAATTTAATATGTGCGATCAAGATGCTCAATAACCTTCCTGAGCAAAGTTTCAGCAAAATCCGTGATTTGACTTTTTGGTTCGTTGAGCGAAACAGCACCATTTTTTTACATTGAAGCTGTCAGCTTATAACAAGAATACAGATTTGTCCACATCGCAGTGACTACGTACCCTTGACATGACGCTCATGCACATGCACGACAAAGGTGCTACTGGAAACATAAAAAGTGCCAGTCTCCACTGAATGACAAACGACATTACGAGGGCAGCGAAGAACATGGCACAACCACGAATCAACAATCCCAACTTGTCACCAACGCCCTCACGAATACGTTCAACATTACTGGAAAAATAGAATTAGCTGTGCTTCAATTGTATTTTGGATGGAACGTGTATCAGCAGTAAGTCGGACTGAGAATTTTCATTCATTCCATTTTGGATCTATCCTCAAGTGAGATGGTAATTAGACAAGTATTCTGAACAAATGAAGCTTTACATCCTATTTCTAGCAGTAGATACTAACCGTTTTCCTCTATTTTCTAAAAAAATGCAAAAATTCTCAAAACATTCTGACTAAAGTGCGGTTCATAATTATACGAACACCCAAAATTTTGTAAGTTTTTGGACTTTTTGGGAGAAATTCAAAAAGCCGTTGGTACCACGCGATAGAACACAGCCGAAAACGGTACATGATCCATAAGAATGGAAATCGATGTCAACTGTAGGAGTGTTTTTGCGCCAAATGCGAATTTTTAACGGTTCATAATTATACGAACACCTCAAACAAAGGTCTATTTTTCATTCAAGATTGCAATCATTTGAGTCCAAATTTTTTGTAGAGTTACAGTAACAAAGTCTGACATATCTGCCATACACTGAACCCAGTGCAGTTCAAAACGATTACCGTTACTTTTTTTCAGAAGGCTCTAAATGCTTTTGGAGTGACTGTGCTCCACAAACATCCGTTCTTCTGTGGTTTACGCGCTTTAAATAGCTTTTACCAAAGCTACGAGATAGAATAAGCTCTTTTGATAGGTATTTTGTTTGACGCTTGGAAAACCTTTGCATTTTCGTGCCGTTTTTCAACCAACTTCCAACCTTACCACAGAGTTGGCACGATTTCGAGCCTCAAAACTCAGCTTCTGAAGCCGTACAATGAAGTAATCATATAGTATGTAGAAGTTCACAAGACTTTATATTTGGTTAGAAAAAATCAGCAGCGTTGAGCGTTTGTTTTGGTCACGCAGACGTCATTTCACCAAAAATACTGTTTTTACTATTGCAATCACACCTTTATTTGGTTTGTAGCTCCACAACCACAAGATCAGTTCTAGAAAAAACCCAAAACTTTGGCACAGAAACATCATCATGCAAACAATGCAGCTGCTCCATATCAAATGTTTGCGCAAGAGAGAAGCTGAGTTTTGAGGCTCGAAATCGTGCCAACTCTGCGGTAAGGTTGGAAGTTGGTTGAAAAACGGCACGAAAACGCAAAGATTTTCCAAGCGTCAAACAAAATACCTATCAAAAGAGCTTATTCTATCTCGTAGCTTTGGTAGAAGCTACTTAGAGCGCGTAAACCACAGAAGAACGGATGTTTTTGGAGCGCAATCATTCCAAAAGCATTTAGAGCCTTCTGAAAAAAGTAACGGTAATCGTTGTGAACTGCACTGGGTTCAGTGCAGGGCAGATATGTCAGACTTTTTTTACTGTGACCCTACAAAAAAGTTGGACTCAAATGATTGCAATCTTGAAAGAAAAATGGACCTTTGTTTTGAGGTGTTCGTATAATTATGAACCGCTAAAAATTCGCATTAGGCGCAAAAACACTCCTACAGTTGACATCGATTTCCATTCTTGAGGATTATATACCGTTTTCGGCTGTGTTCTATCGCGTGGTACCAAAGGCTTTTTGAGTTTCTCCCAAAAAGCCCGACAACTTACAAAATTTTGGGTGTTCGTATAATTATGAACCGCACTTTATCACTTTACAGCTGCGCACGAGAGCACTCGAAATTCTCATCTTGAACATTTGAGGTGATGAGCACTCATTTATTTTTGAAAGCAAGGTTTGGCCATGATCAAGTTCCAAACTCTCAATAAGTCGAATTTCTAAGTTCGATGTAGTGCTGTTCTGAGAAATTTTCTTAAGGAATTAGGACATTTATGAAAATTATTTGAAAAATCTCGTGGAGCAGATCGAAGATCGAAGGAGGATTTGCAGTGAAAATGGTCAGCTTTGTTTGTTTGATACCAAATTTCCTGCAAAACTCGAGCTAGAAATCTCAAAAATCATCAAAATTTACAAGGCAAAAATGATGAGCTCAAAATCCTAAAATTTGTTCAAGCGATCATGCAAAAAATCAAATCAGTGGCGTAGCGGTAAAAAAGGAAGAAAAACTGCATCGTACATTTTCAAAGTACCCTCCTATCTTTACTCTTCGATTTGTGGTCGAGTTTGAATTGAGATCAAAAAGTTCCATGACTTTTGAACCCTAGTAACCACTTTTATTGTTCAGTTCTGTTTGCTTTACATCAAAGCTTCAAAAACACGATCACACATCAGATAGTTATGCTAATCGGATTATGCTGTCTAGATCATGAGCCATGAGTTGAAGTTTGATGCCATTTGCATAAATGCGCTACACTTTGACCTTTGTAGGCTACACTTAAACTTTAATAATTCATGAAATATCTTACTCATTCAGCTGAGTAGTCAAAGTACCGCTGTGATGCTTATCTATCCAACCAGCATTTTGTCGTAGAATGGCTTTGATATAATGATGCCGAATCTTCGCAATTAGTCGGCAACACACAAGATAGAAACAGAAAAACTGAAATTGAAATAATATGAGTTATCATAGTTCCTTATAATAGTGATTCCTCAGAAGATTACTTTGAAAACAATCTTAAAGACGAGATTTCTAAAAAAAGAGCAAAAGCAAGTCTGTAAAGTGATTTTTACATACGAAATTAGCAAAAGGTTTTACTAAATTTCAAAGCAAGTCACAAAGTACATTGCTTGAATGCGTTATTCGTATAGCTTTTGATTTGCTATTCAACAGATTTACCTCATACGAAAGTTTTCCAAATTTTGTTGAGAAGAAGTGGATTTGGATCGAATGCGTGCTACGAGCTTTGCTCCAAACAGAAAAATATTGCATATAAAGAATAAAAAGCATTGCTAGAAGGCGATTAAGTTTTTCAGTATCTTCCAGCTAAATCATTCGCCCTCAAAAGCTAAAAGCCCTACCCAATACTCACCTGCAGATAATGAATGATGATGACGAAAACTCCAGCACCAATATAGACGTAAACATAGTTAAACAACTGATATTCTGCTTCTATTTTGTCCGTAATATTTCCGGATGTCAAAATGCTGAATACTCGACCTGAGATGAAGGCTAAGAAGGGCTGGAAGTACTCTATTAGATTTGATTAGTATTTTTGCCATGTGTGCAATTACCTGGCAAATCCCGCTTACAACTGCTCCAATTGCGCCAATTATCAACAATACAATGTCGAACTTGGTAGAGTAACGGAACTAAAATCGGATGAAGTGAATCACAAGCCACTGATTTTTTGTCTGAACGTACCAATCCTCTGACCGAAACTGGCTTTCTTGCTAAAGTCTTCTTTGCAAGATCTCCTCTGCAATGCGTAGATCTTGTGGAATTAGATAAAAAAAAATTAAGGTATACCTGCAGAGTAGATAGTCGATAAACTTGTCGCAGGTGGACTTCTCTACAGGGGTTCCTTCTTCGTCATCGTCTTCTGTTACAACCTTGAATTTCAATCGTTCATACAAGCAAAGCTTCTAAGGATGAGCAGAAATTTATACAAAGAGATAATCTATTTTATTTATAATCCAACCCAAGGAACCGCATCGCAGCATTCAAATACGGCTGGACTGTCAGAGAGTCTCACGTTTCAAATTGAATGCTGCAAATTTTTGAAAGCCTTCACGAATTCAACGCTTATACATTGTTTGATAGTCTTTTTTTTTTTGCTTTTTAGCTCATATGGTCCTACCGTATTTTTTGGTTGCTTCAAAATCACAAGCCTTCGATCACACATTCTCAGTTGCCACTTTTCATCCAGTTCACCTATTCTAGCACTTCATGATTCTCGCAAACTTGATGACACTCAGGCGAATAAAAGAAAAAGTGATTTGTGTTTAAAAGTCACAATGGCTAACATTATTACATTATGCCGGAATCGCAAAAATCAAAGCAACGAGATCAATTTAAATAGCTGGGAAAAGTACTGTATGGCAACGGCGGCTTGGAAAAAATTAGGACAGATGTAAAAATAATTTTGCTAAATGAGAAGAAGGGCACAGCCAGTTCTCTGAAAATATTTTTGGAATGCTTCCCAGATTTTTCAGCTTTGCAGCTTTTGCGGCTTTATTAGAAATCTAAGAAAATCTTTGTCACAGCTGGTCTAACCTCTTGTAAAAGCAAACAAATACTTCACAAGGAAAAATGTTTGATAGCTCAAGTAAACAACTTCCAAAAATTTCGCAACTAGTCTAAGATAGAGGAAGCGCATGAGCTTTCATGTTGTGTTCGCAAAGTGGACATTAGCGACAAAGAGAATATGGCGGTGGTTCAGAAGTTGGAAAGTTATAGCACCGCAAACGCACATGTAAGCTTATTTGATCTATCAACTTCACAGAAAATTCCGCGGACTCACTCACCTTCACTTTTACTTCAGGTTCTTCGGCATCTGCTTTACCAGTCTTCTCAATTCCATTGCCAATACTTGTTCCATCCTTTTCATTCAAGCTTGTAAGACTTTTATTAATAGTGCTTATAGTCATACTCCAATTTTGTATCTGAAATAATTTCAGCAGGCGTGTCAAATGGCTAATCGTGAGATTGATACAGTAAAGGTTTTCAGTACTCATCAAACAATATGAATGTGAGTCAGAAATCTCTTTTGAGTTCTCATTTGAATTGCGCAAATATTTGTGTTGTTGCCTCAAAGATGCTGGCTTCTTCTGGTGTGTACTTAGGATTTCAAAAGTAAGCAAATATTTGGCATTTCCCAACTAGGAGCTTTGATTATTTTATGCAATGCCACCGTTTCAGAAGTGTGATTTCAAGCTCAAGCTGACCGAACTGTACACTAGTATAGAAAAAATCACAGAAAAGAATCGTGAAGCAGAAGTACAGCTCTTAATAAAACAACAAACACAAATAAGGATAAGATTCAGAAAAGAGAGAAGGATACTATACTTAAAATGGTATGGAGCAGCAATGCAAAACATTTGCGCACATATTGCCATATAAATTAGGTCGTTACGAAAGTGATCTCACTTTTTTTTCAAACAAGCCCCACTTGCGGAAGAAAGTTTCGTAGAAGATATTGCTAGCATTCGATGCACTTTTTCATGCTCTTTCAAAAGTCTGCATTGTTGAGCATAGCTACTAGTCCTCGAAAGTTACCAAAAATTACTATCCATGGTTTTCAAGATGGTCGTTTCGCCATTTTTGCAAAATTTTGCAGGCAACATATGGATAGAGGAAACCCTACAGGATATAGGACAACTTCCTCCTTCGTCCTATGATTCGACATAATTTTATGTTAAAATTTACACGAAAACAGTGAATTTTAGCAGGCCTATCGCAGACACAGACGCGAATGAATTTTCGAAGTCTGAAACTTTTAAAAATGGATCAACATTCAACGCTAATTTTACAAAGCAGATGAGCAGCAGGACTGGCAATATCAAGTCCGAGTTTTTCCGATTAGTTTATCCGAAAAAAATTTACGAATCAGAAACAAAAACAACTGCTAGGAAGAGGAACTGCTGCATCTTACGACACGCAAGTTTCTCGCAGGTCTATGCTCTAGAGGTTTAAGTTAACCACATGTGGAATTTGATAGCACCGAAGAAATGATTTTAAAAAATTTGAAAAGCTATGTATAGAAGGAAAAAGCTATATATGGAAGGAAAAAGAGTTGTTGTGTAGCCTATAAGGTTTACTCTGTCCAAAGTGACCATGGCAAAAACCGTAGACAGTAGTTTTTAGTAACTTTCTGGGAGTCTTTGGATAGGATGTAAGATTTGACCACAGGAAAGACGAAAAGCTGCATCGAATGCAATTAAAATCTTTTGAGGACCTTTCTTCTGCAGGATTTCGTCTCCTTTAGAGAAAGCGAAACTATTTTTGAAATCCCATGGGCTAATGGGTGAGCTATAGTGCATGGTTGACAGACTATTGAGCATCATCTTCTTCATAAGGGAGAAATACAGTAATTACATGCAGGTTACAAAAAAACCAATCTACTATTATAACACGGCCGGAATGAAATCTTTAGAGGGCGACCACCCCGACCAGGGCAAACTTATGAATTTATAGGAAAATGACGACTAGCATACGAAATGAGCAACGCGGGCACAAATCACACTAACTGTAGGATCAGACTATGTAGAGCGTGCATGATATTATGATTGCTGGAGAGACACGTGAACATAATACAATCAGATTTCGACTAAGTTAGTAGAAAAAACCGTTTATTGGATATTTTCGACATCCCGGATTAGGTTGAATACTGTAGGATGGGTCCGGACATTAGCGTCTATAGGCAACGGTGTGAACATCGCTTCGGGATCTGGAAGCGGTCTATTGTATTGTAGGACCACCGTGTGTTACACTTACATTCTCTTCTTTATTGAGCGGCTATAGATTCCATGGCAATGCCTGCAATTACGAAGAATCCGTAGCCTAAGGCAGGTATAATGTTGAGCTTGGACAAAAAGTGCCTCTCCAGATTTCGTCCCTCAGAACAGAACTGTGGAAAGGAGTTCCTTTTGAATACTGAATATATCGATGTTTTCCCGATTGAACTCCACTTTCTTGGATTTGAGAGTAACCATGTTTTCGGATAAAGGTGTTGGTGTTCACTTGATCTATACGTGCTGTATCGGAATTTCATACTACGTAAGGGATTTCGTGTACTAGAACTCAGAGCTGATGCATGTAATGTTTCGAAGTTTTCAATAAAGCATCAAAACCTCTACTTCCTTACCGATACAAAGTTATTCCAAAATTCGAAAATAACTGCCTTCAGATCGCTATTCCTGAATGGTTGGTGCTCAAGAAAATGCATCAATCATCATCAATCACTGCTCATGGTTCGCATACTGCTATTGTCACCAAATCGTTGAACAAACTCCATTTGTCAGCAAACACTGTTTTCCAGACAACAAGCAGTACACTACGAATGAAATTACAATAATACGATAAAACATTTGGAATAAACACAAACAAACTAGTTACAGAGCCCTATGCAGGTTTCGCAATGTATGAATGTAGATCTCTCCGAATCAACTGAGATCATTTGCTTACATACTTTTATAGGATTGCTCATTTACGCTTTTTCACTCTATAGTACAACAAACATTACATCAAAGTTAGGGTAATTAATCGTACTAGGAATTATCACGAAGTCCATATTTAACAATAATCACTATATTACGGAAATCAAAAGAGCATTACATAGAAACCTGTACATCATTTTCTTGACTGTTCAGCAGTAAAGGATGCCCTTCTTTGAAGCTAACATACTTTTCCACGGAACAAGTTGCCTATCTGAAATCTGAGCCGACTACAGGGTATTAGTAGATCAACGTATTGATCTTCGCTTCATATTCGCGTGGTTGTGGATAAGAGCTATTGAACATTAGATCAAAATATACGAGCCTTCACAAACTCCGATAAAGCCCATGGCTTTGAAAAATGAAGTTTTTTGATTCGTAGCGATATATGGTGGAGTACGTGTTCTCGAACCACGATCATTTATGAAGAGTTTAGAAAAATTCCGCAAACTTGTAAGCATCGACATTATATTAAATGTAGAATTTTAATTCGGTACTATTCCACATAAGTTGACCCAAAAAATGAAAATCGTGAATTTCGCTAAAACTTCGTCTAGGGGGGTTATTTGGTACGCTGAACACGAATATGATGTTTATTTCGTGCAACAGCGCCATCCGGTGGAGTTACGGTAGGATTACGGTAGGGGGTCAAAATCACGGATTTGCCCGAAATTTGGCCCAGAGGGGTTATTCGACCCGCTGATGCCAAATACCACATTGGTTTTGAACCGTAGCGTCATTTTATCGGGTTACGGTAGATACACGGTGACGGGTGTAAAACATAGTTCATCCCGAAACGGGTGTGTGGCGATTTGGATGATCGTGAAGCTTTGCACACATGACCACCGCCGCGCGCTACACACTCTGCTGCGGCTTTTGCCTAAGCAAAGCACAGCGGAAAGATACATTTGCCGATTTGTGATTTTGACCCCTACCGTAAACCTACTGTAACCATGCAGGGAGACGTTTTCGTGCGGAAAAAGTGTGACATTTCTAATCAGCATGTCGAATAACCCCTCTGTGCAAAGTTGCAGCGAATTTCGAAATTTTGACCCCCTACCGTATACCCACCGTAACTCGAGAAGATGACACTACAGTACGAAACCAATGTGATATTCGGCGTCAGCGGGCCGAATAACCCCTCTAGGCCAAGTTTCGGGCAAATCCGTGATTTTGACCCCCTACCGTAATCCTACCGTAACTCCCCCGGATGGCACTGTCGCACGAAATAAACATCATATTCGTGTTCAGCGTACCAAATAACCTCCCTAGACGAAGTTTTAGCGAAATTCACGATCTTCATTTTTTGGGTCAACTTATGTGGAATAGCGCCTTTAATTCTTTGTTGCCAAGATCTACTAGCTGTAGCGGATTCGTCCCTAACTGTTCAACATATTCTTCTTTCGAAAAGATCATCATTCGTCCTAGCAGCAGCAAACACAGATTGTGCGAGAAAGTGTCGTGCAGTAGGTCATTTTGTGCGTCATGAATACCATATTATAAATAATCATCAAAAAGCTGATCTAGTTCAAGTGTACTGAACTTGGCTCAGTTCGACTGTACTGAACTGCAACTCAGCTGAACTTCTACGATTCGAAGATCTCCCGCCGGAGAACTTTTTCGAGGGTACAAAACTGTCTCTAATCAATGTCATAGAATGTGAGATGTCCCAGGGTACATATCATGAACTGAAGATGGGATGATGATTAGATGACATTGCCAATTCCTTCATTTTCAATGCATCTTTTTTACGAATATTGAAGGTACTATCACGAAATTGCCGGAGCTAGGAAGTAGCACTCGTTATGCGCTTTACAGGGGTAGGTACATAGATTCTCAAACCATAGCAAATGCAAAACACAAGGTGAATGCTGCTAAGTGCAGATCCATACTTCCGTCTCTTTATAAGCTTAGGGTGCCTTCATACCGCGCCGGCAGCCGCCGCTGGCAGCCCGTAGCAGCCCGCAGCAGCCGCTGGCAGCCCGTAGCAGCCCGTAGCAGGCACCAGCAGCCCGTAGCAGCCGCCAGCAGCCCGTAGCCGCCGCTGGCCGCCTTTGTCATAGAAGCGCAAATCATCTTCTTAGTCCTTTCCTGCGCCTGCCCATATTTTCCATCTTCAACGCCGATGTGATATGACTGAAGCAGAACATACTGTAAAAATCAACAAATAGCAACCTGCAGGAACTGGACGCATCCAAAGTCAGAAGAAATCACACTGCGAAGAAACTTTGGCGAAATATGGTTCAATTGCGAGAGGGAAACTGAGCATCGATAGGATAACCAATCTACGGACAAGATAATAACAAGAACGGACAAGGTATGTTGTTACATGAGATGAAACTGCGGCAACAGAAAGGAATAAGCGTGGAGGATGGAGGGCGTAGGCGGTTGCACTTAAAATAGTAAGAATTTGATGATTTTGCGCTTGTATGACAAAAGCGGCCAGCGGCGGCTACGGGCTGCCACGGGCTGCTGGCGGCTGCTGTGGGCTGCCACGGGCTGCTGGCGGCTGCTGCGGGCTGCTGGCGGCTGCTGCGGGCTGCTACGGGCTGCCAGCGGCTGCTACGGGCTGCCAGCGGCGGCTGCCGGCGCGGTATGAAGGCACCCTCCCCGAAATCAAATTGTCTCGTAGCTAGCTTCTTGAAGAGACCTCTCTACCATTTTAGAATTCTTTGCCAGTTCCGTTCCATTTTGGGGAGAGACTAACGAGAATTTGAAAAGCCTTCTTTAGCACGTGATGGTGGTGCTAATAAAGGGAGTCAGTTGGGATAGAATTAGTGGACATCAGTGGAGGACCCCTGCAGCTTTTATGTAGAACAACAAATAATTTGTCGTTCTGACTGCTCACAAACAGCTCTGGACACAATTTGCAATTTGTGACATGCTAAATTTTTATGGGATTTCTTGATTCTGTACATGAACGCTAAAATGAGCGAGCGAGAAGTTCTTCGTCAACCTATGTATGAGCTGTTCTCAACAATAGCATTCTTTGACTAAAGTTTCTTTCAAAAACTATAAGAATACGTTTGAAGAAGGTGCGTGTAATCAGCATGCTCGATTACCCCCCTGTGCCAACTCCCAGCCCCGTAGCTCAAATTTTGCAAAAAATCGATAAAATCGATATCGATCGATACGAAAAGTAGCCTAAGACACCCACCGGGGCCCGATGTGTATATGTGCCAAGTTTGGTCCGGGTCGATTCAGAAATGGAATTTTCTATTCGGAACATACGTACAGACAGACATACATACAGACAGACAGACAGACAAACAGACATTCAGCTTTATATATAAGAAGCTGAATGTCTGTTTGTATGTCTGTCTGTATGTATGTATGTACGTATGTTCCGAATAGAAAATTCCATTTCTGAACCGATCCGGACCAAACTTGGCACACATACACTACGGGCCCCGGCGGGTGTCGTAGGCTACTTTTCGTCATCGATCGATATCGATTTTATCGATTTTTATCGATTTTTTTGCAGAGTTCACCTACGGGGCTGGGAGTTGGCACAGGGGGGTAATCGAGCATGGGGATTCCGAATACAATATTGGTTTTCAGGATTATCGATTACTTTTATCGATTTTATCGATTTTTTTGCAAAGTTTGAGCTACGGGGCTGGGAGTTGGCACAGGGGGGTAATCGAGCATGGGGATTCCGAATACAATATTGGTTTTCAGGATTATCGATTACTTTTATCGATTTTATCGATTTTTTTGCAAAGTTTGAGCTACGGGGCTGGGAGTTCGCACAGGGGGGTAATCGAGCATGGGGATTCCGAATACAATATTGGTTTTCGGGATTATCGATTACTTTTATCGATTTTATCGATTTTTTTGCAAAGTTTGAGCTAGGGGGCTGGGAGTTGGCACAGGGGGGTAATCGAGCATGCTGATCATCCCCAAGGAGGGTGATCAGCATGCTCGATTACACCCCTGTGCCAAATTCCAGCCCCCTAGCTCAAATTTTCAAAAAATCGATAAAATCGATAAAAGTAATGGACGATCTTGAAAACTAATATTGTATTCGTAATCAGCATGCTCGATTACCCCCCTGTGCAAAATCCCAGCCTCGCATGTCAAAATTTACAAAAAATCGATAAAATCAATAAAAGTAATCGATAATTCTGAAAACTAATATTTATTCGGAATCCCCATGCTCACTTCCCCCCTGTGCCAACTCCTAGCCCTGTAGGTGAACTCTGCAAAAAAATGGATAAAAATCGGTAAAATCGACATCGATCGATAACGAAAAGTGGACTGTGACACCCGCCGGGGCCCGAAGTGTATGTGTGCCAAGTTTGGTCCGGATACGGCGGAGCCGGGTAAGCCAGCTAGTGACCTATATAATGGTTGCATCTACTTAAAGATGCTATGGTACTTTTGCAACTGCTAGCGGCAATCTTCAAACAGTCGCAAATTTGAGGCAGCTTCTTGCGAGTCAACATACATGTCTCAATTGTCTAACGAAACTACTCGTGAGCAAGCATTGGAAACATGACTTTCGAAACCGTATATTACAAGATCTAACTGTATGCATTTATTCTCATTTCAATAAAACTAAACTCTGCAAATAAAATCTATAGAATGTCTCTCTAAAACCGCTAATATCTATGTCCATGTCTAGAAGAGTTCTCTCCCTTTGCTTTCTTTCTGTTTGCAGTCTTCTTCCTGCAAATTCGTATTCCGCTTATAGCATCAAATCTGGACAGCAGACTTACTTTGTGCCAGACTTTCCCGGGTTTTGGTGGGCATTGCTATTGTTCTGTGATTAATAGAATGAAAAGCGGGTTAGGAAAAAGGCTAGAATCAAACCTGTGTAGTAGTTGGTTCGTCATCACTGCCGCAATCGGAAGCGATGTAATATGCTGGATCCATGGGACGTAACCCCACTTCCTTGAAAAATATTGCTATTTTGAAAAGATGAAAAAGAAGAGGGACCTAATCACTGCAAGCTCACCTTGTAAAGTAAGGATCTCACATTCTGAGATAGCGGTGTGCTAGTGGATGCTTTTGAGAACGATGGGTGTGAGAGTAACGTCGAGAAACCTAAAAGATTTTTTTCTTCTTCTTATTGTGCTGTGGGATTCCATTGCTGCTTCAAGGATTACTCGAAATGCCAACTTTGCCAAATTTACTTACTTTACTTGTTGACTGGCTCCATTCCGGCCCACTGTTCTTGCTAAGCAGCAGCTAAAAAGCAATCTTCACTTATTTATTCACAATTGGATCTATCTTTCACCTTCTTCAAATTTTGAAGTTCACTGTCCATCGACGCCGCGAGATTGCTTCTGAACTTCTCTATTATCTCATCAATCTCCCTAAAAAATTCTACGACGATGCTATACCCTCCTATTTTTGTATGACTGCAACTAACTCCTGATCCGTCGCTCTAATCAATCCTTTTTCAGCATTGACATCCACCTCGCATAAGCTTCCTTCTTCCTGCGGGGCATTTGCATTTGGGGGTGAATTTATTAGCGGAGAACTAAAATACAGAAGATCCTCGAGCATACTCATCGTGGACTAACCTTCCCACGGCCCCATATTCGACTTTTTCGCTTGCAACCAGCGGTAGTGTTTGACTTCTACCCCCAGTCAGAGGTGTCATCAATAAGCTTTCGCGTGCCTAAAGTTCCATGACATTACTCAAAGTCTGACGTCCTTATCGTGCTCCACTCAAGTAGAAAAGAAGTGGTCGAGTTTGAACGAAACTGGTGGATGCGAAAGCCTCTTATATGAAGAATGATTTTGCGGTTAGTAATATTGTACAGGTTGATCCTCTACTTTGATATTTTGATTATTCTCAAATCTTTCCATTGTCGTGATTTCATATCTGAAATTGCTACAGTGGAAAGATTTGAGAATTTCTTCGAAGGCTGGGCGAGTGCTTGGCGACCATGTCTACAAGTGCTGGTTCTTAACCTTGTCAAGAGCAACCAACACATGTAGACTCTACGCGTATCGATCGTGCTTGTCATGCTAAGGAAGGTTAAGGGGGGGGGGGATTGCTAATGGGATTGGGGTTGCGCTCACCAACAGAGGCGTAGTTGGTAGTAAAGGGCAAATCTGGGCAATGCCCTCAAAACTGTGTAGCATTTGCAAAAAATATATGACATCTTGGGACTGCTCCTCACCTCTATAGCAGAATTAAGTGTTTCATCTGCGCCACATCTTGCTCTCTTCTTTTTTTTAACCTAAAGAAGATGGATAAAAATCTGATGCACGCTGCCAAGATAATTGAAGTATAATTTAGTATCAAACTAAAATAGATTTGCTCTCGGAAAATTATTAGGTTGATGCAAAACTTTTCCAAAAAATAGAAGTAAATTTTCTAATTTTGCTCTAACAAAATATTCTGAAGTAGTATTTTTAAGTACATCTTAGAAATTTGATTTGAAACAAAATCAGTATGTCATTTTGAAAAAAAAATTGTAACTATTCGCAAAGATATTCAATCACTGCCAGCTTCTCTTAGCTAGAGATGTCATAAAACCAAGACCAAAAACTAATTTAAGTTTAGCAGACGTTTCAGCAATCTTAGTGACCAAAAATCAAAAATTGCCTTTTGACTATTTCTCCCAACCAACTTGTATCTTTGCGATGCGCCTTCAAGGAATTTCGACTTGAGCACATTTAAAAAGAGCAAGGTTTTCTATATATGTACAAAATCTGAAGATTTCATCGAATATGGAGGAAGTTATAGAATATGAAAAGATTTGGTGCAAGAATTTTGGGTACTTTTCCGTTATCCGGACCCATTTTTTCAAAGAAGGATATTGCTTCTATCCTTGTACCATATTCTGTCCCACCTTCACGGAAAGGAGTGTCAACCTTCTGCCACGTGTCAAAAAAATTTCACATGTCATCTACATGTTCAGGTTTTACCAAGAGTTTGTTTACCCTAGCTAGCGATGTAAGTTCAATCTGTTTTTTAGTTAATTTTGAGCTCATTTCGATCAAACAGTTTTGAAGTGAACATTGTCATAATAATAACGACACGCCATCATCGATGAACAGATTGGACTTGCTCAAGATAGAAAAGTGTGCTAGGATTCCGTTATTCAAGATGCGAAACAAGCAGCAGCCAGGTACTTCAGGCTATCATTTATAGTTTTTCGGCTAAATTCGCATGGAGTAAAGGTTTGAAGAGAAGTACGCATTTGAATCACTGCTGAAAGCAAGCAAGATGTTCTAGAATAAGTTCATGATTGTTTTGTGCTCATGTAAAACAGTTGAACAGCTTTAGAATGATCACAAATTCTCTTCTACCTCACCGGAAATAATTTCGAAAAAAAAATGTCAAAATTGACCAAAACTTGTCAATTTTTTCGTGACACGTGGCAAGGAGGCAGTCCTCGTAGCATCTATGAAAAATTATTTTTAGACTAAAGAACATATAATATGAGAGCCTTTTGAAAAAATGGGTCCGGATAACGGAAAAGTACCGAATTTTGCATTGACCTAATAAACACATTTGATTTCGGTTCACACAAGATTTAAGAAAAAACAGAGCAACTGCAAATGGTCAGCACTTACCTCTTCCAGCAACGAAAAAAACGATCCAAAAATTTTCGCAAAGAACTCCATCAACATATTTTGGAAGGAGCTCCAAAGAGTGAGGAAGACGTAGTTGAAGGCACAGAGGTAGTTGCCCATAGCCGGCACATCTGGCGAGATCAAAACTTTCAGGCGGCGCAAAAACGCAAAGAGTACATAACAATTTGTGAAAATGAATTAGTTAAAAACCATGCCTAATCGAGCAGGTTTGCTTACGTGTGAGATTATTCAATCAGGTAAGTCATGATTTTATGTACTATGTGACTGTTCTCCTCTCCTCTTCTTGAGAATCTGTTTGATCTACGGCGTCATGGATTATAGAATCTACTGATGTCATTGATCACTGTCTAGCCTAACGCTCGTATCTCTCTCCTTGTATAGGATGGAAGGGATGACAGAATTGCACTAAAAATAACACAGTTTGTTACACACTTAACTCTTCCTTTTGATATCTCAGTTGTTTTTATAATTGCGAATTCTATGATGTAAAAGTTCAATGCAAACATATCCTTTACTTGTACACTAGCTGAGCTCACTGAAATTTGAATTGATACTACTTACTTGGATGCGATATGAAACTATGAAGTTGTTGCTTGTAATTGCAAACAATCAATTTTTTGATTACTGTATTGGTTCTGTATAAGGAGTTTCCGGGGTTGTACCATTATAAAATTCAGAGAAATGTGGTATTATTCACACTCTATTATTTCTGACAAACACACGATTTCTTGTAAAGGGGATTTTTTAATCGTAATCTGAGTATGCTAGAGACGATTAGGTGCATTCATTTGAACTATGCCGTCTGAGAGGTAATGGCGTAACCAAAACTTGCTCATTTGTACTCTACGATCTTTCCTTTTTTTGACGTTTTTGAGCTTTTTTTTTCTGAATTGCTAATCACAGCGACGGAGTAATTCTAGAAAAAATCTATATTTCACCGGGTTTCCATTGGAGTGGGGTCAGCCGAGTTCTTCAAGGTCTTCTCCAGCTTTTGGCCTTCAGCCAGATGTAAATCTTTTCAACAGCAATACATTTTATTATTATCTGATAATAACAGTGTTGTTGAAGAAATCAACAGTTAGACAATAAAAGCAATGTGTCTACTTGCATAAAAGCCCAGGATATCCACTACAGTCACAAAAGTACATTCTATCAAGCTTCCTCTCAAACTAAACTAACGAAACAGGAACAATCTTGAAAAAATCCAAACGTAAAAAATGACGTGGAAGAAGTGAATGCTGCCTTCGTGTACCCGGGAATACAGTAGCTGACCAATCGGTCGAGTTCTTCGTTATCGGAATGACGAAGAACCGGCTCGTCCGGTTTGAACATCCAAACGTGTAGCATTTTTGAAAGCGTAGACGATAGAACAAAGTAGACGAAAAACTGAAAGCAAGTAAAATGGCCATTGCCTTGTGTTTGAGTTGATATTTGGTATATTTGGTCTCTTCAGGATACAGGCTGCCAAAAAACTGCTTTCTTGCATGGTCGACGAACATTTGTAGTCAAAGTCCACAAATTGAGGGGGGGGGGGTGAGATTCTATTCAGCTTCTGCCTCATAAAGGCGGGTAATGAGACCAACGGAAGTGGACTTTCCACAACCTCTATGTCCGACCAATGCAACTGTTTTACCTGGTTTTATTGTAAAAGTAAGACATTTAGAACCTGGAGCAAATTTTCGGACTTTTTTGTGTCCTACTTGTTGAAGTTGTCAATCGCCATGCACGACTTTACGGCAATTATGGTAAGAATCACAATGGCAATATAATCGCAAGTTGTTATGATGTCTTAAAAGTGTTGCACCAAAATATCGCAGAAATTTGGATATTTCAGGAAACGATTAAATTGTATTTTATACCTTTTATCTGCGCCATGAATGGTTTTCTCAATCATGCATGCAGAAACTTTATCAGATGAAGAAGTCCTACTAAAAAATAAAGATCGTAACTCTTGGTGAAGTACGATCTAAACCATTTTACCTCAGTCAGAACATGTGAATTACAAAAGTAGAAAAACTGAATTTGAGAATTTATTGGATCTTTTAGCTTTTGTAGAGATGAAGTATAGAAAAAATCGATTTGAAGATTTTTATTCCAGCTTGTTTCCCACCAATTTGTGAAACATTATATTTGCATTTAGCAGCATTACGATACTGATGATTTTTTCTCCGCGGTATGTTTCGAATCTAGCAAGTTCCACTGTGAATGGTGTATCTCTAGAATTTCCAAAAAAATATGGCTCAAGACTTACGAGGCGACCCAACAACATCGCAATTTCAAAAGCTGGGAATTTTTTGGCTTTCCTCGCAAATCACTAGTATAGTTACCACTCAGGAGACTGACTAGTTTCTAATAATCACTCTGTATTTTCGAAATGTTTTTCTGTGCATTCCACGGCGAATCCTTTGGTCAGAAATGGAACACCTACGTTTGTATCCTTTCTAGTCGAATAAGGAAACTGCACATTGTTAAATTCGACCTCTCCTTTGTTGCTCAGTGGTATCTTGCCTTCCGCAGAGTGTCGGTCAACTTCCGGAGTCTAAAAGGAAGAGTTCAACAGATGTAAAACAAACACTGCTAAATATTTGATATTCTATGGACCCTATCAATTATGTGATATGTTGTTGCCGCCCAAACTCTCATTTAGCAGAACCATCAAATGAGGAGAGATCACGCCAAGAAAGTAAGCTCCAGTCATCATCGATATTACTACGGTAACCACTTCTCCTCTGTCTTCGTTCTTTTTGGAAGGTGGTCACCGAATCTGCAATATACAACAAATGCATAATTTATCAGCTGACTGGTCGATGAAATTTTATAGAAGTGGATCAAACTCACAAGGAACCTGCTCCAATAAAACTGAAAAAAAATGATTTAGAGAAAACCTCCCTAGAATCCTCTCCAAAAGCATTCTGTTTTGCATGTTTTTGACCTGTGTTGAGCGATTTGGAGTATCTGAA